TGTTTCTCCCTGATGTACAGTGGTACCGCGGGTTACATACGCTTCAGGTTACATACTCTTCAGGTTACATACGTTTCAGGTTACACAGTCCGCTAACCCAGAAATAGTGCTTCAGGTTAAGAACTTTTGCTTCAGGATGAGGACAGAAATTGTGCTCTGGCGGCGCGGCAGCAGCAGGAGGTCCCATTAGCTAAAGTGGTGCTTCAGGTTAAGAACAGTTTCAGGTTAAGAACGGACCTCTGGAATGAATTAAGTACTTAACCTGAGGTACCACTGTAATGTATTCACATTACTTGCTGCTACACCTGAGTCAGTCATTCATCCCTGGAAACGAAAGAGCATAAAACACCAACAGTGGGAAGGATAAACTTGTATTGCTTTGCGACTTTGTGTGTGTGAAAACATCTGGGAGTAGGATAGGTCAGAAGAAAGTTTGACTGAGTGCAACGGGATGTTACACATAGGACTGCAGCCTTTGGGATGGGGGGCAAATGAAGGCTTTGTATGTTTGTGGACACACACTTGCACGCCTAGGAACCAACTCCTAGGGGCCGAGGTCCCTTTGCCGCTTCCGCCCATTAATGTGGGAAGCTAGGTAGACAGGTGTGTGGAAGATTATTATCAGAGAGTCAGCGACAATGGAAAACACACACACAACAACTAGCAGCCCTGGTGGCTCTGCAAGAGGAGATTGCTAGACTAAAAGCAGAACTAAAAGCTCTTCAAAAACATACAGGTAATTGGCAGCTAAACATAATAGTTGGAGTGCTTAGAGATTGAGGAAAAAAAGAATTGAGCAAATGGTTTATATAAAGCAAAAGGATGAGTATGATAAAAAGTTACTAGCGAATGTTCTCAAAGGAGGGAAAGCTAAATGCCAGATTCTATTCACTCCGGTGGCAGCAGGATAAAAACCTTTCATTCTAAAGGTATAAATCAGGAGTTTGCTGAATACTACATGGAACTGCACCAGCCCATCCACCCATCCACAGAGGATATGGATTGCTTCTTATCTACCTTTTCCAGTTGTTACCCAGAAAGAGGCTTCCTCTTTTTAATATATTCGGAGACTTCTCCTTTTTCAAATTACCCAATTCCACCGACTGATTAAGGTCATGCACCCTCAGAGACTTGAGGATCCTGATAGATCCATCTGAACATTCTCGGGGGTTCCCCAATGGAAAGAGCCAGTGATCTGGTCAAGGCTCTCATCTCATTGTGGAATGGCGAGATGAGAAGGCTTGTTACATTTATCACTCCTGAGCACCCTCTCCGGCACTGTGGAGCCCACAACTCTACTGAGTTCAAAGCAAGAAAGCAAGGCTAGATAATGGTTATATACTCGTGGAGTAGACGTCCAGTAGAGATTTTCCAGATTGTCCAGAACTTGACCTCGCCTCTTGGTCTGAATGAGCACCTGGAGGCAACAGAGGTCTTCTGCCATCACCTGGTCCACCATTTTGAAGGGGGGCGGAGTTGCATCATGTCCAACTTTGCAGAATCAATTTCAGTTTGTGCGACTTGATCTCATGAACAGGGTGTGGCAGGTATGGACCTGGTAAATGCTCTCTGTATCCCTGCCCAGCATGGCTGGAGAAATCAAGCTGGAGGTGGCGGTGATTGGGTGGGTCTCAGATGTGTAGGATGTTTCATTGCATGAGGGGGGTGGTCCTCACTACCTTAAAGGGGGACCCTTGACTCAGTAGATTGTACAAACATTTTAGCCAAAAAGGCTATTATTATTTAATAGGAAGGGTTGACAAACATCTGGAATTTTCTGGACATAGCCAGAATACTGCAGTTGGAAGCTGTGTCTGGTGGGAAATTGCTGAAATGAATTCGGACGTATGACAAAAGAAAATCAACTCCCCCCACCCCAAAAGCTCAACAACCCTATTATTAAGAATTGTATGTAGACAGCATCTTAAAAAGCAGAGACATCACCTTGCCAACAAAGGTCCGTATAGTTAAAGCTATGGTTTTCCCAGTAGTGATGTATGGAAGTGAGAGCTGGACCGTAAAGAAGGCTGGTCGCCGAAGAATTGATGCTTTTGAATTATGGTGCTGAAGGAGACTCTTGAGAGTCCCATGGACTGCAAGAAGATCAAACCTCTCCATTCTTAAGGAAATCAGCCCTGAGTGCTCACTGGAAGGACAGATCGTGAAGCTGAGTCTCCAATATTTTGGCCACCTCATGAGAAGAGAAGACTCCCTGGAAAAGACCCTGATGTTGGGAAAGATGGAGGGCACAAGGAGAAGGGGATGACAGAGGACGAGATGGTTGGACAGTGTTCTCAAAGCTACCAGCATAAGTTTGACCAAAATGCGGGAGGCAGTGGAAGACAGGAGTACCTGGCATGCTCTGGTCCATGGGGTCACGAAGAGTCGGACACGACTAAACGACTAAACAACAACAACAACAACAACAACAACAACAACCAAAGTACACACATTATCTCTGTTTTCAGGTCATAGATGACTTTTGTAAAGAGGAGGGTTGGGTAATACAGTCCTGCTAAATTTTCTCAATTTCTCTGCAGCTATTGATATAATGAAGGAACGTGGGTGGCACTGTGGTCTAAACCACAGAGCCTAGGGCTCATCGATCAGAAGGTCGGCAGTTCGAATCCCCACGACGGGGTGAGCTCCCGTTGCTCGGTCCCAGCTCTTGCCCACCTAGTAGTTCGAAAGCACGTCAATAGTGCAAGTAGATAAATAGACACCACTCCGGCAGGAAGGTAAATGGCATTTCCATGTGCTGCTCTGGTTAGCCAGAAGCGGCTTAGTCATGCTGGCCACATGACCCAGAAACTGTCTGCGGTCAAACGCCGGCTCCCTCGGGCAGTAAAGCGAGATGAGCACCACAACCCCAGAGTCGTCTGTGGCTGGACTTAACCTTTATTGATATAATAGACCATGGGCTGACTTCTGGGCTGACTCTACAGGGTGGCTATCAGTCTGTTCTGGTGGCTCTGTTCCCAACCTGCAATGTCCAGAGAGTAGCACTGGGTGAATGCTCTTCGGTCCCCTGGTATTTATGCTACAGAGTGCTGCAGGGATGATGGGAATTGTAGTCTAAAAAAACAGCTACTGACTGATTAAAGTTAGAAAACTGTGTAGCTTGGCCTCATCCTGCCTCCAGAATGACTAGCAGCCAAGCAAGTGAATCGTTAGCGTAAAATCTCAAAGGGCACTAGAAGCATATTCTAAACATAGCTTTTGAAAGAACTCAGTTAGAAGCAAAGAGAGTTCATCTGCCCGCAGAACAGTTTTGGCTAATTTTATACTTCTTTAAAAAGTCCTCGGAGATTTTGCAACAGGGTGGACCCTTTGGTTTTGAAACCATTTAGAGGGAAATCGGGTGTACCTTTTGGTTTTGAAACCTTTTTAGGGGAAATTGGGTGGACCCATTGGTTTTGATATTATATAAAGGAAAATCGAACCCACACGTCTCTGCGTTGATCTCCTGGCTCCTGAACCTTTCAGAACAAGCCAGAGTCCTAAAAAGCAGGAAGTAATCTGCAGGACGCGCCTCATGCAAATCTAATCAATCTCAAAAATTAGTCCTGCTGGATTTACACCCAGGTAAGTATGTACTGGGTTGAATCTTCAATTTTCTTCATGTGATTTTAGCTCTTTCGACACAGCAGGCTCTCACTGGATATATTCCTAAAGCTTGGGGCCAAATTATGTGCTGTGTGAAATGCATGTCTTCATGTATGCCCTTTATTTAAAAACAGAGACCTGAGGAGATCTAAAAGCACTAAACTCTCCCCAACCCTGTGGCTTATCTCTCCCAAAGGATGCTTTTCAACTCAGCCAAGCTTTTATACTGGAAGTGGGGTGAATGGGGGAAATGCTATAGGGAAGAAGCTATAGGAAGCTTCTTGGTTTAATGTCTTTCGATGACCACCCTCTGTCATTTGCTTTAGTGTGTTCAGCTGACACCACATCTAGCTCAGCCCTTAGTGTTACACTGAAGTGTGAATTTCAAAGTCCCACACATTACCTTAATCAGCAGTGTTGCTGATTATATTTTAAAGCAACAAATGTCTTGGCTCCGGGATACCTGAAGGACCAACCTCCTCCTATATCAGCTGGCCTTGTGCCTAATATCTGGTGAGAAGGTTTACTCGGTGTCTTGACTATGGTGGAAGCATGGCTGGGATAATGGTAGGGTTGTCATATTTTAAAGAGCAAAAAAGAGGACGATATGATGACTCTCCTTTTAAATACCCCTACTATATGTAGGTTATAGAAGCTGTAATATGTTGCTGAGCGGGGCAGGAGAAGAGAAGAGGAAAGCAAGTCTTCAACCATGTCTATGTCTCATCCAGATGTCTATGACTCATCCAAAAAGTATAGCCACCCGGACAGAAATTTTACCCCTGAAAAAGAGGACGTGTCCTGGAAAATGAGGACACGTGGCAGTCCTAGATAATGGTCAATACTGTGGTAACACCTGAGTCCTAGAAGATATTGCCTTGTAGGGTTCTTTTATTGGTGTTTCCCACTGTAAAGGCTTTTCAATTCCACCAAGGTGTTGCTGTGCTGTGTAGGTAATGCTCTGGTTTTATGTTTTCGTTTTATCCATTTATTGTATTTTACTAACGGTGTCGTTTTATTGTGATATTATTACTGCATTGTTGTTGTTGTTATTTATTGACTTTCCTCCCTTCACCATAAGATCCCAGGTGGGTTAAAATAATATAAGGATACCTGCCTACAGGACACCGCCTGCCAAACCTCTCTGCTCTCTTTCAACCCATTTTACACCTCACCCCTAACCCTCCACGCACCCATAGCTCTCTCAACAGCAGAGTCCTATCAGCTGGGTCAGTGATCAGCTTTTCTGTCTTTGTTATCTAGGCCAGTCAGAATTTCCAGTCCGGTTACAAAACATGCAGCAGAGTTTTAGCTTCCTCCTCTCTCCTCGCACAAATAACCATTCTGTGCTGTCATTTTTCTCCATGAGGCTGGAGTAGGAGGCACGAGCAAAGATGGCGTTCAGTTGGTGGCTTCTTCCATTGATGTTACAAGCACTACATGGGGTGACAGATGCCACGGTGAAACTCAACAATGGTGGGTTTGAAGACGTGGTCATTGCAATCAACCCTCAGATACCAGAAGACAAGAAAATTCTCGACAACATAAAGGTGCGACTGCTAAACGTTTCTAAATGTGTAGAATGTGCAAGCATAGGTGGGGATATAAGTATATAGTAATAATAATAATAGGGACGCGGGTGGCGCTGTGGGTTAAACCACAGAGCCTAGGACTTGCCGATCAGAAGGTCGGTGGTTTGAATCCCCGTGACGGGGTGAACTCCCGTTGCTCGGTCCCTGCTCCTGCCAACCTAGCAGTTCAAAAGCACGTCAAAGTGCAAGTAGATAAATACGTAGGTACCGCTCCGGCGGGAAGGTAAACGGTGTTTCCGTGCGCTGCTCTGGTTCTCCAGAAGCGGCTTAGTCATGCTGGCCACATGACTAAGCTGCATGCCGGCTCCCTCGGCCAGTAAAGCGAGATGAGCGCCGCAACCCCAGAGTCGGCCACGACTAGACCTTTACCTTTAATTACTTTATTTATTTATTTATTTATTTATACATACCCGCCCATCTGGCTGGGTTTCCTCAGCCACTCTGGGCGGCTTCCAACAAAACACTAAAATACAATAACCTATTAAACATTAAAAGCTTCCCTAAACAGGGCTGCCTTCAGATGTCTTCTAAAGGTTTGGTAGTTATTTTTCTCTTTGACATCTGGTGGGAGGGCGTTCCACAGGGCAGGTGCCACTACCTGTAACTTGGCTTCTCGCAGCGAGGGAACCGCCAGAAGGCCCTCGGCGCTGGACCCCAGTGTCCAGGTAGAATGATGGGGGTGGAGACGCTCCTTCAGGTATACTATATATATGGGTGGGAACAGCAAGAAAATGTTGCAGTATACAATTAGCTGGTGTAAAGGACGCCAGCATAAGTTAAGCCAATATAAAGTACATCCGATTCAAGCTCTGTTCAAGACTGGGGCTACTACTGGTTGAGCCAGCCTAAGCCTGGCAGAGGGAAGGCAAGCCTTTAAAATCGTTACACCACCCCTAAGTGCACATTCTACAAACCCAAATGCAGATACTAGTCACTGAACACACGGAGGTCTTTCTTTCCTTTCCTTGCTAGGGCATGGTTCAAGAAGCATCTGCTTACCTCTTCGGTGCAACACAAAAAAGATTTTATTTCAAGACTGTAAAAGTGATCATTCCCTCGACGTGGAAAACAAAAGCTGACTATCAAAGAGTAACTAGAGAGTCATACGATAAGGTAAATCTGGAGAGAATGCATTGAAATGTAGGCGTACTTAGGGTATTTTTTAAAAGATTGTGGTAGCTCAACTTACTTCTGAGTAAACAGGCATAGATTTGGGCTGTGTACATTCGCAGACCCTCCAAGTATCCCTTATATTCATAATAATAATAATGAGGATTTTTGCTGAGGCAAAAATCACGATAAAGCATTAATATCAAAGGTACTTTGCTGCTGCTTTTCTGGGTGATCTTTCAACCAAATTCTATTTTATTTCAGGCAGAAGTCATAGTGGCAGCTCCTTACCTGAAACATGGAGACGATCCCTACACCTTGCAATATGGCGGATGTGGGGAACCTGGGCGATACATTCATTTAACTCCTAACTTCCTGACAAATGACAAGTTGCTTGATGCTTATGGACCACGAGGTATTACTTACTACCTGTTCGTTCAGATTAAACTATTCGAGTTTCCCTAAAATAACAGAGTAAGGAAAGTCCTGAAGAACCTATACCACTTTAAACTTTATCACTCTAAAGGCAACCAAAACGTCATAAGGAACCGGCAATATCTCTGTGTCCAGTTCATCAGCACATTTTTCAACCCACAAAAATGTGCCTCTGTTTCCTTTCAGCAACGTTACTGCGGTAGCTTACACACCATAAAGTAAACAACTTCCTACTGTTTTCAGGATTATTTAAGGGAGGTGCATTTAGGAGGTGTATGCGATCTGTATCAAGTACTTTCAGACTCTCTCGTGGGTTAATATCTGAAGCCATTAAGAATTGTCTTAAAATGAACATAGCCAAGGAATATCCTGTTCTGTGAGAGCTCAAGGCTCACAGGAGAAGCCCGGTAGTGTCTCATCAAGAGGCTAAGTCAATACTCCATCAGAAATACAAGGGATCCACAGCCCTTCTGAGGAAGTGATGCATGATGATGCCTCTGGAAGCACTTAGACTGGGCCAGAGACTGAGACATCTTGACTGGGTGCATAGCGAGCCCCACCTTCCAAAAGAAGATGGCTGCCTTTAAAGGGCACTCACCTTATTGGGCAGTCCTTGTGGCTGGGGAGGCCGGAGTACTGTGGGAGATTCATCTTCTGAATCAAAGGAGGGCGGGCAGGATGTGCCTCTGGCTGGCAGGATCTGGAAGAGGCTGTGGAAAGCTTAAGTCTTGTCCTCCTCATAGCTGTCAACCGTCCCTTATTTGGTGGGAAAGTCCCTTATCCCAGGGCTGTGTCCCGCTGCTGTCCCTTATTGATGATGTCCCCTAAATTTCCTGGGTTTCAAAGGAAGCAGCTCCTCTCCCTCCCTCCCTGCCGGCCAGGAAGGAGGGAGGCTCCAACTGTGTTGCTTGGCTGCGTTGCTCACCCAATAAGGAGTCTAAGAACGACTGGGGGGTGGAGTTTGCATGCCTTGTGCCGATCAAATCAGCCGTGTTGCCTGGGGACTCGCCTTTGCTCAGCGCTTCCCAGCGGAGAGGTGACGGTGGTTTCCCTTGCTGCCGGGTTTCTGTGCTGTGGGAACCACCGCTTGAGGCTTCATTTGGCTGCTGGCTGGGCTTTCTACCTTTGGCTTGTAGGGGCTCAGAAGTTGAACATACCTGTGCTTGGAAAATCCCTTATTTTGGCTGCTGATCCCTTATTTTTGAGGCTGTTGGTCCCTTATTTTCAAATCTGTAACTTGACAACTATGGCCCTCCTCCGTTGCACCGTACACAGTCCCCGGGTCATAACAAGGAAAGCTAAATTGAATTTTTAATTGTTTGTTGAACGGTAAAAATAGAGGTGCATCTTCCACCATTTGCTATGCAGCACTACCCCCCCCCCAAAAAATACAGAAGAGCTCAGATTGAAAAGAAGGCTAATCCAATAATAATAGATACTTAACCATTGGTATGACTGCACAACATTTCAGATTTTATTTTATGGGGGGGTGTTGTTTGTGGGATGGGTGTGTTATAATTGTCAAGGAGGGGTTTGCTTTCCTGAGTCCTCCATCCAAGCTAGTAATCAGTCACACACAGGCGCCGAATGGGTTGCCAGGCTTGATTGGCTTCTTCTCGAGCACCAGCTACAGAACATCAAAGAGCAAGTCTAAAACACGGTGTGTTCTCTCCCCCTACCCCGCCCCACCGAAGGCTTATAGGGGCTGGGGAATGTAGGCAACCATCCAGCCCCATCACATGCTCCCACTTTGGGGACTAATTCTTACCACCTGCCTGAGGTACCCTGACATAAGGTAAAGGTAAAGGAACCCCTGACTTAGGTCCAGTCGTGACCGACTCTGGGGTTGCAGCGCTCATCTCGCTTTATTGGCCAACGGAGCCAGCATACAGCTTCAGGTCATGTGGCCAGCATGACTATGCCACTTCTGGCGAACCAGAGCAGTGCACAGAAACGCCGTTTACCTTCCCGCTGGAGCAGTACCTATTTATCTACTTGCACTTTGACGCGCTTTCGAACTGCTAGGTTGGCAGGAGCAGGGACCGAGCAACGGGAGCTCACCCCGTCGCGGGGATTCGAACCGCGGCCTTCTGATTGGCAAGTCCTAGGCTCTGTGGTTTAGCCCACAGTGCCACCCGCGTCCCTGAGATACTTGCTCACTATTCATGGCAATAATTTCTATCTACCTGTATACTGTACTTTTTAAAAAAGGTATCTTAGGTTTTGTCCTTGATCTTCCACAGGCAGAGTCCTTGTCCATGAGTGGGCTCATCTCCGATGGGGTGTCTTTGATGAATATAATGACGATGCACCTTTCTACTCTCCTGGGGGAAACAGCATGCCTGAAGCAACGAGGTACCACCCCAAATCTCCAAGAGATGCATCTCTTCTTTTATAAGTGATGTTTGCCTTGGGCTCGTTCGTTTGGTTGCGGTGTGAATCATTGTCTTGAGGATGAGCTTTGATGATATATGGAAGAGATTTCTCATTAGGGCAAAGTGGAGGTAATGTCCTGCCCTCGGGCAAGTGCCCAATTTTCCGCTGCCCAAGACCTTATTTTCGGCCAGCTTACTCAGTCTCTCTGGAGACTGTTCTCAGCCACAGTCCTGCACACAATTTAGCCCAGTAGTGCATTTCTTTTGGCATGGTGACGTTTCAGCGGATTGTCCCTACTTCTGTTTGCTCCTCACCTGAGTCTAACCTGGCAATTTTGTTTCCAGTGGCCCACAATGCCAAACAAAAGACGCCATTTGCTGTGTGCTGAAGACAGGCCTGGATATTGGCATGGCTTGGAGGAGTTAGTTACTAGAAAGCTTTCCAGACCCTCCATCGCCCAGAACCCAGCAAGCCTTAAAAGTAGGAGAGCAAAGAGCTCAAAGACAGAGGGCACATAGCAGCACACATAGAAGTGATGAATAAGGAAGTGGGAGAGATGGGGTGGTGGTGGAGATTCACTCGGGACAACACCAATATTCAAGAGTCTGGGTTCTAGGGTCTCTCTCTGTAGTGTTTGAAATAAAAAGGGACTGTAAAAAACTTTTCCTTGTTTTTATACTTTCCTGGGCAACCAGCTGGGAGCTGCTAGGAGCATTCTGACATGAGCTAATGTACCAACTAAGCACACATAAAAATCAGATCTGAACCACATGTTTGCTGAATAAAGTACCTGTCTAGAAATCATCTATATAATTGATTCAAACTCTTTCATCTCCGCCCATTATGAAGAGTTCTACAATCTGATCTTCAGGCCGGGCTGGTGGGCACTGGAGTTTGTCTTAGCAGTCGTGGCATTACAGAAAACAAGATACCATACAATCATACCAGGATGTGATTATTTATTGACTTTTAAACCGACCATGTCTGTTTCTGTTATATTGATTAGGTGCCCAGCTACTTTCAAGGGTAGCTACGTAGTCCCGCTCGCTGATGGAACTACCAGACCATGCAAAGTTGAACCAAAAACTCAGCTGTATGAATCTGGGTGCCAATTCATTCCAGAAAAAAATCAAAATACTCCAACATCTATAATGTATGTGCAAAGTATCCCATCGGTAAGTATGATAGGTTTTAGTTGGGATTTATTTTTCTCCAATGCCTCAAAAATGCAGGATTTTTGCTAAGTTAAATATAATATTTGGAGATTTTTAGCTTCAATTCTTGCAGGTAATTGTGTGTGTGTGTGTGTGTGTGTGTGTGTGTTTCACCAATAAGATTGTGTTAGGGCTGGGGAGAAAGTCTTCCAACCAAAATTTAGTTATATTGACCTAGCAATTCAAGAAGAAACTCTTTCTTAAAGGCCTGCAGTTTTCCCGTCCTTCCCTCTTGAAACCTTCTCTCAATTTATAGAAGCTACATACAGCACAAGCTACAGGACCCAGACTGACTGAGCAGCCACTAGGTCCAACAGTAGGGTTGCCATATGTTCAGACACAGCCGGCAATTGGCTGTCGGAAACTTTGCCCAAAAAAGTGCAACCCGAATAAGGTAGTTGAGGCACATAGTCAGACTGAAGGAAAGTGAGATGGGTTCTGTTGCTCTCTGCAACAGAACAACTAACATTTGAATAATTGTGTGGGGTTCTGCAAAATGTTTCTGGTTTGTGAGTAGAGTTGAGGTACCCTTCAAAGTTCGCCCTCAGACCTTCCAACTGTCCCTATTTTCCAGGGACAGTCCAGGATTTACAGAAGCCATCCTGGTTTCTGATTTGACCCTGGAATGTCCTGCTTTTCCTTAGGACGTCCCTATTTCCACCAGGGAAATGTTGGAGGGTATGTTCCCTTCTTCGGCAGGAAACTGCTCAGAGTGAAAAGCTAGGTAGGTGAGCAAGCGAAGGAACGAGGGAACAAACAAGCATATGTTCATCTGTTCTTTTTGTCTGAAAAAGAATGTCCACTTTTGTAGCACCTCTTCCCAAGGAATGGCTGCCATGAGGTAGATATTGCTTATAAGGTTGTGAACTTGATTTATTCTTCTTACCTTTTATTTAGGTTACTCAGTTCTGTGACAAAAGCAACCACAATACTAAAGCAACAAATATGCAGAATAAAATGTGCAACTACAGGAGCACCTGGGATGTAATTACGACTTCTCCTGACTTTGCCAAATCAACTCCACAAAGAGCTCCTCCGCCTAGCCCCACTATCACTTTGCTGCAAAAACAGGAGAGAGTTTTGTGCCTAGTACTTGATGTTTCTGGAAGTATGGGTTCGGTGAGTCTATGTTTTCGGTTCTCAGAAGAAGTATTTTGAGACAGTTCAAAAATGATGGAATTGACGTCAATAGTGACAACAAGTGTCAATACAGCATTGACATTTCTGTCATAAATGCCACACTGTTTTATATAATAATAATAATTTATTATGTATACTCCGCCCATCTGGCTGGGTTTCCCCAGCCACCCTGGGTGGCTTCCAACAGAATATTAAAATACAATAGTCTATTAAACATTAAAAGCTTCCCTGAACAGGGCTGCCTTCAGATGTCTTCTAAAAGTCTGGTAGTTGTTTTTATCTTTGATATCTGATGGGAGCGCGTTCCACAGGGCGGGCGCCACTATCGAGAAGGCCCTCTGCCTGGTTCCCTGTAACTTGGCTTCTTGCAGCGAGGGAACCGCCAGAAGGCCCTCGGCCTTATAGATAGGGAGCCTGTTTTGGGTTTTAGATTAGATTTGGTTAATTTGGATATATATGAAACTACAGTAATTAATTCATACAGGAGAAGAGTTCTAGGGCAAGGGCGGGCAACCTGGCTGAGGTAGAATGCAAGGTCTGCTCATCCTAAATCCCCAGTTGGTGCAGGGAACCTAGAGGAAGAGTTGGAGCATGGGAGGTGAAAAATGCAGGGGTGAAAGTGAATGGAAGGAGGCAAAGGAAATCCTGATCTGGCCAGATCAATCAGGTCTTTCAGGTTTCTCAATTGTGCAGGAAACGTCAACAGCTGCACAAGGCTTCCCTACTGCAGAAATACCCTACTGCAGAAGTTTATGGTAGACACATGATGGAGGTTGGAGAAGTCACATAGCTCCTGGGATGGGTAGCTATAAATGCGTTTTCCTGCCGCCCTGGCTTTTCTATGTTCTGGAGACAGGCTTCTGCAGAGCTTATCGGAGGCCTGGGGCAAGAGTCTTGTTAGACTAAAGTTATAAACTCAAACCCAAAACAACCAATCCCTGGCAGGGCCCCCCAGCCGGCTTAGCCCTCTGAGGCCCAGGGAAGTGTACCTGGCTGCCTCACACCTCCACTGCATGGGCCTGTCTGGTAATAGTCCTTGAAGTGGATTTAAGAGACATGGGAGGTCCTTATTTTCATTGGAGAAATGTATGGAATCTTTTAATTGAAAGGCAGAGTTTACATCATCTAACTAAACAACTGCTAAGCAAATGGGAGGGGGACATTCTGGAATGGAGTTTATATTTCTATACTAGCATACAGAAATTTGAATATCAGACACAAAAACATTGTAGGATAATCATTCTCCAACAGCAGAATTTGTGGGACAAGCCCCATTGCAATGAATGGTGCTCTTGTGAACCTCCCATCCATTTCAATGGAGCCTGTGCATGAAAACATCCAGATGGATTGTGCCCAACATTGCAACATGGATGAGGTTATTTGGAAACTCATGAACATTATGCATTTGCCTACATCCACCTAAGTTTATCAAGCCTTGTTTTTTAAAGTATAATTGACAGTTGCATTTTCAGTCATTTATTTGCTTCCCAGAATCCACTGGCAGTTCTGTGAATGCTGGTTTTTTTATTAATATTATTGTTATTCCTATGCAGAGCAATCGCATTGGTCGGCTGAAGCAAGCTGCGGAAATATTCGCCCTGCAGATTATTGAAGCGGGATCCTGGGTTGGAGTAGTCACGTTCAATAGCGCGGCAACAGTCCAGACTCAACTGAGGCAGATCAGCAGCGACAGTGTGCGCAAAACTCTGGCAGGGTTTCTTCCTACTTCAGCTGGTGGAGGAACTAACATATGTTCTGGAGTGCGGTCAGCATTTCAGGTGAAAAAGAATAAAATTCCAGATCCTTTTATTCCTATTCTTCTTTGTAGGGTAGCCAGATGCAAAAGTGTAAAGGGCTGCTGTGTATCTAAGGGTTGTGTACAAGAGGGTATTTCAGCAGGTATGCTCTCTCATATAAGCCAAGAAACAAACTCAGTGCAGAGAAGATAGAGATGCTATTTGCAGGTGGATCCACTGCCTGGGTAAGTTCTGGATAAGTTCTGGGTAAGTTCTGCCTGGGTAAGTTCAACCAGTTCTGGAGGGAGTCCCAATTCTCTGAAAGATCAGGTTCCTAGCTTGAGTGTACTTCTGTATCCATTGAAGTGACTGGAGGCAAAAGTGGCTTCCACCAGGTGTGGCTTCTGCCATCTATGAACTGGAAGCCTCTCAGTTTGATTATTTATTATTGTCCATCTATCCCACCTTTCCTCTGAGGAGGTCAAGGTGGTCTCTCAGGCTGAGAGACTATTTGGCCTGAGGTCACCCAGTGAGCTTCATGGCTGTGTGGGGTTTCAAGCCATAGCCTTGGCCAACATTTCCATGGTTTCAAACCATGGTCCTAGTCCATGGTTTTAACCACAGCTTTCTCGTGTGAAATAGCAAATGCTAATACTTCCTTATTAACAACCATGGAAGATATGGCACCCATCTCACCAGACTCTGCTTCTGTTACAGGTAGGGAATTAGTTCACACAGAACAGCAGCAACACACCACACTTAGTGGAGCTTTGTAGCATTTTCTTGTTCATTTTAAGCACAAATGGTGCCCGGTGGCTTCCACATTCCTAGTTGCTGCTAAGATTCTAAATGCTCTCCTCCATACAGGTGTTTTTAAAGAAGTACCCAAATACCAGAGGCTGTGAAATTGTGCTCTTGACAGATGGAGAAGATAAACAAGTAAATTCCTGCTTTACCGAAGTTCGAAATAGTGGGTCTATAATCCACACCATTGCTTTGGGACCAAGCGCTGCAAAAGAACTTGAAATGCTGGCAGACATGACGGGTAAGGGAGCGGGCAGAATGCCACACCCTCAGTCCACTTGGTGCCAACTGGGGTTTCGCTAAGAGTGAGTTTACTAGTGGGCTCAGCCCCCTGCCATGCTACTTTCATCCGCACCATGTTCCTCCTACTTGCCCACAGAAACTTCATTGCTTTTCAGTGCTCTAGACACCTACTTTATATTTACTGACGCACAGATGTATTTTGCACACAGATGTATAAAAGACTACACTACAACAGTGTATTGCCTTTTATTCCATCAAACCAAGTATCCTAACTGTTCCTTCAATCGCATTCCAGGAGGTCTGAAATTTGCTGCCACTGACAGCTTGAATTCCAATGCTCTCATTGATGCTTTCAGCGGAATTTCTTCAGGAAGTGGAGATCTCAGTCAACAATCTATTCAGGTATGCATTGCAAAGATTAGAGTGAAATAAGCAGTTTTACTACGACTATTAGGCACTGTAAAAAAAAATGTTTAAAGCACAAAGTAAAATTAATTCTATAGTCCATATTTTACTAGTATTGTGCAGCAGGAAAACCAGGCAGAATTCACAGATCTTACAGAGGTGGATTTTGGCAGCGCTGAAACAACATTTCCATTTTTACTGGTCCTAATTCAGTTGAATGTGTGGTCATACAAGCACCATGGTCCCATGCCAGATTGTGTCTCATTGACTACTCTTTGCCAAAATGTGGCGTCAGATCTGTTGCTTCACCTAGAGTTGCCCCCCAAATCTCCCATTGTATCGGCTGCAAATTTACTTCTCTTTGCCTGTGGAATTAGAGTTGTGTGTCTCGCAGAGTCAACCTCTCATTTGAGATCTTTGATTTGCATTTGATCAGAGGTTGTCCCAGCTTTTGAGCTTCATTTAGAAGTCAAACATGCCGTCAGAAAAATCTCCTTAAACTGCATGTTTTTGACACTTGGCGTTTGTAGCAAACCTTTTGGGTTAAAACTTACAAGGTGGCTAGCACCCAGCAAAAGGCCACATGCGACCACAATAAATATATTTGGTGCAGGAAAATAAATTACGGCATCTGCAGGGAATGGATTGAGCATCCAGCATCTTATATCTGGGAAGGGTTGTTGAGCTGGGGTTGCTACATTGTTTGTTTTCCTCCATGTCTTTAACCATGGAGATATTGTAGGATACCAATTTTATCCCCGTTGCAGATCTATTCAGGTTATAAAACTTTTCAAATATATCAGCGTACTTATTTCCTCTCCCCACCCCCAACAGCTTGAAAGTAAAGCGAAGGAAGTAGCTGCCAAGAAATGGATGTTTGGTATAGTATCCATTGATAAAACGGTGGGAAAAGACACTTTCTTTGTCATTACATGGAGCGCAAGCACAACTCCACCAGAGATGTTTCTGGAAGATCCCAAGGGGAAAAAGTACCGTACAAAGGACTTCATAACTGATAAAACCAACCTACGGACAGCCCGGCTCCAGATTAGTGGAATCGCAGAGGTAAAATATTCACTCTCTATGCAGATAACTCTTCTGTTGCTTGTGTGCCTTTTCCTTTGGAAAATAAGGATACATTATGCAAGTGGGGAAGAGCCATTTACTTCTCGAAGTCCTCGGTGTAAGATTTTGCAATGATATTAACAGTGCTTTGTTTTTCCCTAGAAGAGAAGGTGCCAGTACTCACAGCCTAGAAATGGCTGGAGAAAGGACAACCAAGCGGGCATAAGGGGCGGGGGAGACGCTCTGCGCATGCTCAGGGAAGGAGGCAGCAGGCCTCTAGGATCCTGGCACAGTCTCATGCCTCATTCCCCAAGCCCAGAAAGCGCTTGCCTGGCTCTGGGACGGAGGCAGGAGATACCACCCCCTGGGGGCCCCCAGAACCTCGGGTGCAAATGGGAGGCGTTGAATAAAAATAAGGGGGGTGGAAGCATAAATAAAGAAGACAAGAAAAAATTGAAAAGCCATTTGTACATGTTTCCTTTCCCAGGAGAGCACTGAGTAATTTTTGTTTTCCCCGAAAAGGGTGCGGTAGGCCAAATAAGTTTGGGAACCTCTGGTCTGGAAGGTGTTCTTACATTTCCTAGCTCATCAAATGCCTAGCATGACGCTGCTGCTAGTATCTGCTCTTGGTATATTTTCAATAAAAAAAGACACCCCATCTTATCAAAGCATAATAATAACCGAAGGAAATAGGAACTGTATTTATAAACAGTTAGATATGGGATATTTAATATCCTTCTATTTCTCATCACTTGATTTCCAGGCAGGAGACTGGAAGTATTCCCTGCAGAATCAAAATACAGCTCAAACCATGACAATAACAGTCACCAGCCGAGCAAGGTCAGCAACTGTGCCTCCAGTTCGTGTGATGCCTCTTATAAAAAGAACGCATAAGTTTCCTGATCCGTTGGTTATTCACGCAGAAGTCAGCCAAGGGTTCTTACCTGTGACTGGTGCAAAAGTCATAGCCACAATTGAAGCAGACAATGGAGCAGCTGTGGATCTAGAGCTTTTGGACAATGGCGCAGGTAAGTTTGTTTCGAAGCGTTTGCGGCACTATGCATTTCCCACAGAATCAGAACATTAACTCATCTAGTCTAGCATTATGTAATGAGACACGGTGGCTTGTCAAGATGCCTGGCAATTGTATTTTCAAAACCAGCCATTTTTTTAATTTAAAAAAATTGTTTGTTTGCTCATTTACAATATTTGCAAACCACTAAAAAGTCCCAGTTCAGACTACGCACATAGGTGAAATAAAATTAAATGCAATAAAATAGTATAGTATAATACAACATTCAACGTAATATCAAATATGAAATAATTGGCTTCTAAAACGTAGACTCATAAACAGGCATAAAACTCAAAACCGACTGGCAAACAGTTATGTCCTCCCCAAAGCCTGAGATCCTTTTTAGCTTGCGTTGCCAGAGATATAAACTGCCTGCAGAACATATGCTCTACCCCTGAGATGAGACCAATAGGGAATACTCCATTCTGGGTCTTTGCGAAACCCTTCTAGGTGCTAACACCTTCAGTCCTTCTGTCTTTCACCTGGGAGAGATAGCAAGGAGATGCCATGCTTTCCCATACCCTCCAACATTTCTCCGATGAAAACAGGGACGTCCCATTCCATAATGATAATTTTGCTATTTATACCCCACACATCTAACTGGGTTGCCCCAGCCACTCTGGGCAGCTTCCAACATATATAAAAGAATAATAAAACATTAAACACTTAAAAACAACAACACAACCCTATACAGGATTGCATTCAGATGGCTTGGGGGTCGGAGAACTCCATACTCTCCAACATTTCTCCAATGAAAATAGGGACATCCTAAGGAAAACCAGACATCCCGGTCAGAAACCAGGATGGCTTCTTTAAATCAGGGGTGTCCCTGGAAAACAGGGACGCTTGGAGGGTCTGGGATGCCATCAGCACGGATGTAAACCTAACAAGAGTTACCTGGGCAGAACCCTGACTCCAAGGCTTACAATCTGCAATAGGTAGTGGTAAAAAGGGGAAGATCCCACCCCCCAAAAAAACCATTTAAAGTACATTCAGTCACTTCACCCAAAGAAAAGTGGGACATTCTGGAATCAGATCAGGGATGTCCCTGGAAACTAGGGACACTTGGTGGGTCTGGTTTCCAGGTGTGCTTCTTGATATAGAAGGAGCTAATAGCCCCATCTGGATGCTTTAAGCCTCCATGTGATTAGAATTACATGAAGAATGGAGGAAACAGCTGCCCCCATTGTCATCCTCCATCAGTTGGTGATGAATGTCTGCCATGGGGAACTTGCTCTACTCCCTACATATTTCGAAACCCTAAATTGTGCAGGGAGCCTGCTGAAGTGGAAACGGCTTCCCATTTCAGAAGTTATCCCCCTCATCAGTGCCATCTTCCTAGGAAAAGAGGCGCTGGAACTCACCTTGAACATTTCCCTTGTTCTCTTATAATGGCAATGGCTTCCACCTGAGAGGGGCTAGAACCAAGTTCCCCTGAGTTATGGCTGGGCGGGAGGGAGCCCTGCCCCTCATCACTTGAAGGATGCCAGAATAGGCCTACTCCCAAAGACAAATGAAGCATCTGGCTCAGGGGCGGATGACCTTTGCCTCACCTGATTTTGCTGAACTAGAAACTGTCATGTAAGAAGGGGCTCAGATGATGTTCTTACAGTCCAGGCAGGTTCATGAGGGGAAAGGCAGTCGTGGCTATATTTAGCAATGGCAGCCCACCAAGAGCTTGATAAATTAAATTTTGCGAACTGCCCGGGACTGCAGAAAATGGAGCTTGTCAAGCATGCAGAAGTCCACAATGTATGCTGGTTTGCTGTCTTTAGGTTGGCGAGTTACAAGTTGTGTTGGCCTGCGTTGAACAGGGATTAACATACTTATGACTCCATATCACTACATATTCAGATTTAGGCACTCTACTGTTTTCATTAGAACAGGAGCAGATACAGTGGTACCTCGGGTTAAGTACTTAATTCGTTCCAGAGGTCCGTTCTTAACCTGAAACTGTTCTTAACCTGAAGCACCACTTTAGCTAATGGGCCTCCCGCTGCCGCTGCACCACCGGAGCACGATTTCTGTTCTCATCCTGAAGCAAAGTTCTTAACCCAAGGTAATATTTCTGGGTTAGCGGAGTCTGTAACCTGAAGCGTATGTAACCTGAAGCGTATGTAACCTGAGGTACCACTGTACTGTGAAACAAACATCTCCTACATAGGTTATGTAGGGTTTCTTTTTCTTTTTTTAATAGCAGTGAGGTGTTGGGTTTGGATGTTTAATTTTAATATCGATGTACCTAGGTGCCGACATTATAAAGGATGACGGAATCTACTCGAGATATTTCACATCGTTCAAAGTAAATGGTCGACACAACCTAAAAGTGCGGGTCCAGGGGCAAGGCAAGACTGGCAGAAGGATCCGTAGGCAAAGTCAAGCTTTCTTTGCACCAGGGTTTGTAAATAATGGTAAGGATTTGTTACGAAATAGCAATACTGGTGGTATGCTAGCTCTGCGATTCTCAAAGTGTGAATGACACTGGGCATCTCTAGAAGGAAACAAACTTCTTCCTGCCATTTCCCTCCCCATCATTGTCTTTATGTAGATCTGGACACTTGAGTACATATCTCTGACACGTTCACACATATATGTAGGCACATCCTTCTTTCCTGCAATATTCAAATCTGCCATGTGCTTCTCAACTCAGTGGGTTAGAGAGAGAGAATAGATCTACAGCAGATTTGTTGTTGTAGTTGTTGTTGTTGTTGTTGTTGTTATTTCACCTTCCAGTTACGCCAAGGCAATGTCAAAAAGAAAATGCAAACGGTTACAAAACAGCACAAAAAAACCCGGAATATTCGTTTAAAATGGATACCTACAGTAGAGAACTCTTCATCCAGCTGGGATAGCTTGTCAGCATAAAAAAATGTATTTTAGAAAGTGTGGGTGGGATGTCATATCTCAACAGGATGTTGTTCCATAGAACAGGGGCAGCCACCCCAAAAGCTCTGCTTTAAGAAAATAATTATGATTTTCTGTATATTCTGTCTTTGTTTTGGGTTTGCACAAAAGGAAATAAACGGGACTTTCAAAATAATGGGGAAGTTTGGAGGTTTGTAGTCTCACCATATAATCTATCATCCTTCCTTCTTTCCTTCCTCCCTTCCTTCCTAGGTGTAATAAATATGAATCCCCCAAAGATTCGTGATGATGACATCGAAGTTGACGTAGGAAATTTCAGTAGAGTGGCATCAGGTGGCTCTTTTGTAATGTCAGGAGTTCCGCCTGGTGGTAGTAAAAAAGATGTTTTCCCACCCTGTAGAATCACTGACCTTGAGATAAAACCACTTGGTGATTATCAGTTCCTTTTGTCCTGGACAGCTCCTGGGAATGACTATGATGAAGGAAAAGGTAAGTGCAAAATTCTGCTTTAATCAATCAATCAATCAATCAATCAGTAAGACTGTAGAGTGTGTGTGTGTGTGTGTGTGTGTGTGTGTGTGCGTGTGCATAAAAAGGTTTGTGGGGAGCCAACCACCACTTTTATTTGCAGCAGCCTTATCTCCCTGTAATATTATATTACAGTAGCATTATGTTATTGCTCTGGGAAGAGGGATTTCATCCCATCTGGTCCACCGTTGCTGAGGGCAGAGGGCTACCTGTGGATAGGAAGTTTGAAATGCATTGAAAAGGATTTCTGTCGCTGTTATCCTTGATGCACGACTGAAGACGCACAGCTTAATGCATGCCCTGTTGGCTGTTCTTTATTTTGCAGCTGAAAGGTACGAAATAAAAATGAGTGAAGATCCCTCGGCGTTGATAGATGCAGCTTTTCAAACGGCCACTTCTGTGAATACCGCTGGTCTGAAAATGGAAGTCGCTGGGGTCAAGCAATCCTTCCAGTATAACGCAGAAAACTTAAAAAAATCGAATGGCACCTCCATCTACTTTGCCATTCGTGCCATTGATGGTAGCAACAATGTAGGAGAAGCATCTAATATAGCCAGAGCAGTTGTGCTTGTTCCCATATTGCCAACCACCCCAGATGATACTTTTTGTCTGTAGCTTGTGTTTTGCATAAACAAAAAGCCAGAAGTCTTGATACTGGAATGCAATAATACAGCTAGGATTCTGTTTCTGTTTTGAATTTTAATTGGCTCATTGTTGGTATGCTTTTTTTTTTTTTGTAATTTCCATGTCTACAGCTAAGCAGCTTCCATAATAGAAATGGCTTTAAAAAATTGTACTCAAATATTTCATGGCAGAATTGTCACGATTAAAATGCATCATTATCTTTAAATGTGAATTTAGTAAGTTGGCAACCCTAATAAGCAGGTGCACTAGGGCAAACTTGTGTGTTTGGCAACCTGGTCAGTTAATGTTTGTTAGAGACACTTATGCTTGTGAGATATTCACATGTAACACTTTTAACAGCCTGTACTAAACCTCTTTAGCCTTTTATTCTTTCAAGTTAAGAAAACTCTTTTTAACGCAGTTGGCTTGTGAAATCTGGTGAGCAGAAAGCATCAGCTTTGCTAAGAAATAGTTCTAGTGACAGCATAGCAATGGAACAGTGACACAGTTATGTGCTAAGGTGGTTTTTGCTTACAGGAAGGCAGGAGAAAAGGACTGAGATATAACTGTCAAGCTAGCAATCTGGAGTTTTCCTGCTTTAATATGCAGAAACTGTGGGTCTTTGAAACATGGGGTGCTCCCATGCATGTGGAGAGAAAAATATTACAATTCAAAAGTCTGGATCATGGCAGAGAAGAGTGCTGTGTTCACAAGACAAGACAGATTCTATGGGAGAGAACTTTTGTTCTCCATAATAAAAGGTAAAGGTACCCCTGCCTGTACGGGCCAGTCGTGTCCGACCCTAGGGTTGTGCGCCCATCTCACTTAAGAGGCCGGGGGCCAGCGCTGTCCGCAGACACTTCCGGGTCACGTGGCCAGCGTTACAAGCTGCATCTGGCGAGCCAGCGCAGCGCACGGAAACGCCGTTTACCTTCCCACCAGTAAGCGGTCCCTATTTATCTACTTGCACCCGGGGGTGCTTTCGAACTGCTAGGTTGGCAGGCGCTGGGACCGAAAGACGGGAGCGCACCCCGCCGCGGGGATTCGAACCACCGACCTTTCGATCAGCAAGTCCTAGGCACTGAGGCTTTTACCCACAGCGCCACCCGCGTCCCTCCATAATATGTGGCACTCTCAATGGCAATTTGGAGAAGAACCAATTCACAAAAAAGGGTTGCAAATTCACATAATATTGCACAGCAGGGATTTTCAAGGGCGAGACATGACCACAGTGCTTCCATCTCTCACTTTATTTTTCCCTTTTTGTACAGAGCTCTCTGGCCAGGATCCTCTGCTTTTGTGTGTGTTTCTGCTCTCCTTGGTGGGAGTGCACTACGCTTAGGGTACTAGTAGGATTATGCCTTCACTTTCAATTTGCCCTTTCCAGTGTTCTCTTCACAAGGGAGAGAAGACATCCTAACCTATGCAACATTTTGTTATGCAATAAAGCTTCGAACTTTCCTTTTTGCTCTGGTTATCTATTCATCTATCTTCCTTTGCAAAGGAAGAACCCAGTTTGTGGTTCAATTGTTTATCCTGGCATCTTTACAGAAAATGACCCCGGGCTGATCCGTTTCACACACACACACACACACACACACACACACACAGCCTATTGTTTAAAGTTCACTAACTAGTGAACTTTAAAGTCCCCAGAGTGAGTCATAACAGAACCCGACTAACTTATTCCATCAGTGCAATGTCAATCATATTCCTGGTTGTTGTTGTTTTTAATTACCATATTGGCCTGACTATAAGCCTCACTTTTTTTCCAAATTCTGACCGTGAAAAGTTACAAGTGTGGCTTAAATTCGCAGCCTTACATGCGATATTGCTGCTGAAACAGACATCTGGTAAAACGGAACCAAAAAATGTTTTATTGTCAATTTGCAAGCTTGAGACTGTTCATTTGCCATTTATGGGTTTGAGTGTCTGCGGAATTGTAGCAAATGAATAGCGATTTGTTATTTTAGCGATTGTACGCGGGCTTGCAAGATCAAAGGCTTAAATTGGCTCAGAGTTACAATTCTACCAATCGCAGCGATTTTCAGCATGTGACCCAATTTTAAGGGAGCGGCTTAGATTTGGGTATTGTCTCCCCCCCCCCCTTGAATTTTAAAGGTGCGGCTTATTTGCACGTGCGGCTTATATTTGGGCCAATACGGTAAATATTTGTATCAAAATAGATTACTATTCTTTGACTGCAAGTACTGGGATCTATTTGTAAATCAGCTAAAACTGATCAGAAGTAAGTGACTGGTGGACTTAATCATTGCCCCATACTTTCAACCAGATACTGGAAATTTGCTTTTAATGGTCATTCAATAAAGGTAACTTGAATAGTCATATTTTACAGTTGAGGAATACAAAGGCTGAGATATAAGTGGTGAGCACAAGACCAGCCATGGCAGAGATTTTAATCTATGCTCTGCTCACCCTTATCTATGTAATCTTTGACTTAATGGCATTGCTTGAGTGAAAATCCAGTATGTATGCATCATATACCGATTTTGCAAATTTAACCATGGTAATTCATGGACAACAACACATCATTTAGGCACTCCTGCAGGCACCACCTGGTTGCTCACTTCTCTTTTATTGTGTCACGTGTATTTCTGGTCCTCCAAACAAACTGGTATCCTGAAGATGGAGTGCATATGTGTGTGAAGGTCAATGCCTCTTTTCAGTGTACAATAATATGGAGAGGTGTGGACCACAGAGATCATTATGAGAACAAGGAAGTGTGTGGCTCCTGACTTTATTGCTCTGGTATGTTTGAAGTGTTCATCATGCAATATTTTCTTGTAAGAACTGGCTGCAAAGTGCCAGGGTGTGTATATTCTGTGAAACTGAAACTTCTCAAATGTATGTGACTTAATTTTGCACAATAATTTGGTGTGAGCCCAACTGAACATCTACATCAATCTTTAGATCTGTACAGCAGCCCAATGAAGTGAATGTTTTATTAAACTTTGAAAGTATCTCCCTGGACTCTTTCATGGGGTCTGGGGATTTCTTTCAATTTTTGATAGCTTAATAGATGTCCTCATGAGGTTCAGCATGCAGCCCATCTAGGTCTATTCATGTAGCTACTGTATATCTTGCTATAAGGAAGGCTACACATAATAGAAATGTAAAATTGGAAGGGACCACGAGAGGCATCTAGTCCAACCCCTGCAATGCAAGAATCTTTCGCCCAGTGTCTCATGCTCTACCGACTGAGCTAGCCAAGTAGGATACATTCATTTTAAAGAAGACAAGGAGAAGGCAGTCTGGAAGATGTCACATTCATAATCCACACTTCTGTTTGTGCTGTGATTTCCAGACACTGGTCCATGCGTTTTGTTCATTTGTGCCGCCGCTTTCCCTGGGAAAACCTGCTGTTTACCACTGAATTGGAACAAACGGCCATTTTGTGGAAAACTCGATTGATGTTTGTTCTGATTCAGTGGTAAACAGTGGATTTTCCTGGGCAAAGCAGCAAGACAAAACAAAACAAAACAAAAAACCACTCAGATCCGTGCCTACAAATCGTGGCACAAAATGGAAGCCTGGATAAGCCCTTGGTCCTTTATATAATTTTATATAATTTGATGTCCTTGATGTTGCCTGACATTTAAGTGCTTACTCCACACACACACACACACACACACACACACCTAATGTGTTTAGTCCCCCATTTTTCCAGCTGCACATCTTGTGACCAGGTACATACTGAAGAAACACTGTGCTGTATGAAGTTGGACTGTGAAACTCTGCTCACTTGGTATCTGAACGACTGGCGTGTCAGAGGCTGTTCTGAACTAATTACAGGTGATTAAAATGATGATAACGAGGCCTGTGAGTCCAGTCCATGTTCCTTGCCCTGGAAAGCACCAAAGCAGAGCATTCTGAGGGCAGGGAAGGGGCAAGTCTTTGCCAGTATTTCATGTGAGATTATTGGGACCAGATCTAAATCTGGAGAAGGCACAACGATCACGAATAGTGATCACAAACAGATCGGCCTCCCCTTCTGCTCAAGCCACTGTGAACAGCAAAGCTGTCAGTGCAACCATGGGACCCTCCCTCTGTAAAGCCCTGCAGGCAGGGGATGGGAGTCAGAATTGTGTCCTAAGGATGCAATCCTAACCCCATATACCTGGGAATAAGACCCACTGGATGTAATAGGATTTATTTCTGAGTACGCTGAGGAGTGAGTTTCAATGCTGCAGTCCTGGCAGCACTTCCCTGTAAGTGATCAGTGGCTTAGGCTGAAAGTGTTCCATCCTTATTTCTGCGCAAGTGGCTTATTTCGTTATTTAAATAGCTTTCCAGGTGCAGGTCAAGCAAAGTGTGGAAAAATTTGAGCAACGGATCAATAGTTTCATTTGCAGGTAAACATGCTGGAAAAATCTCTCCCCCCCCCCCCATTTCTTCTTCCAGCTGTATGTTGGGAATAAGTGAAAGTCCCCTGAAAGTGAGGGAAAACTTGAAAATGCTGCATCCATGAATACCTCCAGCCTGACCCCTCAGCTGGCTGGTTCCAAGGAAATATTTGCAATTAAACCAAAAGCTTTGGCAAACCTCGCACTAATATATGTGGGTGTTTGCAGAGTTGAGAAATCTTTCCTGTACTCTGACCTCTCCAACACAGCTCAGGCATTGACTCCTTCTCGGAAGGGTACACGCAAGAACAGTAGTTTGAACCTCATGTGGGCTGCTGTTGCTGATGGCTTCTTGCCTTATTCTAAGCACAATTATATGGACCTTAAAGAAAAAGAAGACAATAGGTCATTGGTAAAACCGTACCAGGGAACCCAGATTTACTATTTACAGTATTGGCTTTTTCATGTTTCTAAGTGACAATTACTATACAGAGGTACCTTTGTTCTTGAATTTAATCTGTTCCGGGAGTCCGTTTGACTCCCGTAATGGTTGGAAAACCAAGGCACGGCTTCCGATTGGCTGCAGGAGCTTCCTGCACTCAATCAGAAGCCGCAGAAGCCACGCCCGATGTTCAGCTTCCGAAAAACATTCGCAAACCAGAACAATCACTTCTGGGTTTGTGGCGTTAGGGAGCCGATTTGTTCAGGAGCCAAGCTGTTTGACTACCAAGGTAACCAGGAAAGCCATCTTGGGATTATGGTGGATAGCTTGATGAATGTGTTGACCCAGTGTGTGGCAGCAGTGGGAAAAAGTTGGTTCTGTTCCTAGGAGCCAATTCCTAGGGCTGAGGTCCCTTCACACACACCCTTCAAATGGTGTGTGTGCACCACATCATGTGATCAAGTATGCAGGGTGGGGATTACCTGCCCCCCAATGTTTTATTCAAGTTGGCACCCCTGTTTCTATGTCATCCCTAACAGCTCTTCAACAAATTGTCGCACCAGCTAAGTGTTTCAGATACACCACCACGACATGAAGTCTAAATTGGGGTGGGAAACCTCAGATCCAGGGGCCAAATGCGGCCCTCCGTCCCTGCCCATCTGGCCCTCAGGGGGACTCTCCCTAGGCCACACCTTTTACCAGTCCTGTTTTGTACCCTGCTCAAGAGCTTTTGCCTGGGTGGAACATGTCATGCCTCTTTCTCGCTCGGATGATTAAGAGAGATGCTCACGTTTCTGTAGTAGACAACACAATGGTAAAATGAAAGTCAAAATCACCTTTGTTGTCTTGCCCCCAGGAAATTAGCGCCGCCACCCCCAATGCCCTTGGTCTCATAGGTGCCATTTCTGGGGGACGTAGCTGCTGAGGCATCCACAGTTCCGGCACGTCTCAGGTGGGTGCCATAAAAGGACAAGTCAGGTGTTCGTGGTGAGTTTCAGCACCTCCTTTTCTATAAAAAATAGCACTGTATGTTAGTATTGTGACCGAGAATATTACCTCAAAGAAGGAACTTTGGTTGTTTGCTTGTGATGACCTATGCCTACAGAATTGTAGGACCCAGCCTTCGGGGATAGTACAGAACAGTGTAGAACTACAACTGCCATCATCCCTGCGTATGGTGCCTGCTTACTGGAACTGATCCGAGTTGTAGTCCAGCAATAATTGGAAGGCCAAAGGTTCCCCATGCCTGATGTAGAGATAACTCATATAGAGATCAGTGTCCAAATTGAAAATGATACTTTGCCATAGATTTTTGTGTGTGTGTTCTGCAAACAGCAGTTATCCTGTCTGGTGTCATCTTACATGACAAGAAGATAAAGGGTAAATAAATAACTGTATCATTGTGGGTTGAGAAATCTATTTCCTGGCATGCATTAAAAGCATATCTATGTGATTATCCAATAAACCAGTAACAGGAATTTCTTTGCCTATGCTATATGTGACCCAGCCCTCCTTGTCAAGCTGACCTTTGCTGTCAAAGATTTTTCTAGAAGAGCAACCTCGCCCTGCCTTTCAGAAGGCATAGCGCTTCACCTGCCAGTGGAAATACAGAAATATAAAGGCTTGTAGAAAACATTACATGCATATGTATGCAAAAGCCCATCACAGGTGACGCCTGAGGATTTTATTTTTGCTCATCGTCATTTAACCTGTCATTTCTTCCACAGAAAAGAAGTCGGTGTAGGAGATTCATCATGTGCAAAGCATCACACATAGAGGACAGACCTCAGTCTGCTTGGATTACATAATCCCTAGTCTCTTGTTCACTAACGCCCCCTGAAGTGTACACTCTGCACCCCTAACCAAAGTCCACTATGTCATCTAACACACAACTGGTTGTTGAATTCCAATATATTAAAGTCCTTATAAATGCCGTTATATTAAAGGGACCTGTGGGTACAGGGCGGGGTATAAATTCAATAAATACAGTCGTACTTGGAAGTCGAACGGAATCCATTCCGGAAATCCGTTCAACTTCCCAAATGTTCGGAAACCAAAGCATGGCTTCTGATTGGCTACAGAAAGCTCCTGCAGCCAATTAGAAGCCACAGAAGCCCTCTTGGATGTTCGGAATCCAAAAAAAGTTTGCAAACCGGAACAGTCACCGTTTGGGAGCCAAAACGTTCAAGAACTAAGCTGTTCAAAAACCAAGGTACAACTGCAATAATAATAATGTTTTTGTTTTTTTAAAAATGAACCAACACCTCCCCAGACTCCCAGCAACTAACTTTCAAGGGCGACAGAAGTATATTTGGTGGAATTCAATGCTACCCTATTATGTTCTGTCTGTGCAAGCATTGCCACAAAGAACGATCTCCCCTCATCCTTCTGTGTGCTGTTTGGTGGGGTTCTCCCAACCCCCCTTGAGCCAATTTTTGGCAGGGCAGACATCTATCTGGCCCTTGGGGGGGCTCTCCCTAGGCCACACCTTTTACCAGCCCGGTTTTGTACCCTGCTCAAGAGCTTTTGCCTGGCTGCTACATGTTGTGCCTCTTTCTCGCTTGGATGGAGGATTAAGAGAGATGCCCAAGTTTCTATAGTAGACAAAACAACAGTAAAATGAAAGTCAACTTCATTAGTATTGAAAAACAACAACACTTTTCTTTATGTCGCTACAGATTGGATAGGTAACCAAATAAAATAGAGCTGATAGAGACTCTCAGCCCCTCTCAGTGCCCAGCAACTGGAGGAGGAAGAGAGAGAAGAGGGTGAAGAAACTCAGCAAACCTGGAACTGGGTGTGGGGAGGGAGTACAGCTGAATGGGACCCAGCAATAGGCAGCCTGAGGAAGAACCATCCACCTTGTGTCTGCCCATAAGAAAGAAAGTCTAGAGTGAGAGACTAGGGTGATGTCCATTGTTTCCAGAAACTCTTCTTGTTGTGATACTTTTGTAGAAGAGCTGAGAGTCTGTTTGGAACCTGGGTGAGAATTTATTTTGACCAGTGCTATTTTTCTAGAAAAAGAGGTGCCGGAACTCACCACGAACACTTCCCTTGTTCTCTTACAATAAAAATGGCATCCACCTGGCAGGTGCAGAAACTGGGTTCCAGGAAGCTCCAGCTGGGGAAAAACACACCCTGATTTTGACTTACCGTACTTTTCTGTGTATAAGACATGGGGTTTTTTTACTCAAAAATGTTTAAAAATGGGGCTTGTTTTATACACAGGTAGTGCATTGTAGGGCCAGGTGACTGGTTGCAGCCGCATCTTATAGGGGGCATCTTATACAGGGGGCAGGTTATACACAGAAAAATACGGTATATATATTAGCAACTTTGTATTAATGTAACTTTTTTATACGTAACTGTGTATTTCTGTCAGTGCTTTTTCCCCCCTAGGAAAAGAGGTGCCAAAACTCACCATGAACACTTCCCCTGTTCTCTTATAATGGCGATGGCGTCCACCTGAGAGATGCTGGAACTCAGTTCTGGCAAGTTCCGGCTGAAAAAAAGCCTTGATTTTCGTAATATTTTGTTTAAGTTGTCTATTTTTGCTTCAGTTTTTTGTACATTGCTTAGAGATATGTTTAATATACAGTGGAACCTCGGTTTTCGAGCACCTCAGAAGCCAAACGCCGAAAGTGCCTCAGAAGTCGAACAGCTTACGCTGCGTGTTATTATTTTTTTCTCAATGGATTTTGCTGACCACCCATTGCTCCTTGGTTTCGAACATCTCAGAAGTCGAAGGGTCTTCTGGAATGGATTACGTTGAAAACTGAGGTTCAACTGTATTAAGCTTCATAAAAAGTAGTGCCAGGTCTGGGCCACCATGAGGCAAGATCAGGTGACCACCTCAGGTGGCAGGAGCCACAGGGCAGCAGATTCAGTCACTAAGGAATGCATCACTTACTGCCACCACAGTGGCAGCAACGGCTGGGGCCCACTCCTTGGAAGCCAGATTTGCCACCTCCTTGACAGATTTTTATGTCCAGAGGTGCCTCGCTAATAAGGAAATCTGAACGGTTGCTGTGACTAACTTCATATCAACACCTTCAGAAAAAGTTTGCAATCTATTAATGGTGAGCAGAACAAGGAAGTGCAGGGTTGAATTAATTTACAACATTCCTTAAATATTCACCAGTTTGTTACCTGAAGATGGCACTATCAGGAAATAGAAAAATAGCAGAATTTCCTTGACAGAACAAAGTCCTGTCATAAACCAAGCAGTTATGCACTTGCATAAATAGCCCTCCCATTCTATTAGTCCTTTCTGTGGGACAGGGCTAAGTGGCAGAAGCAAATATGATGTTCAGTCAGTGGCTTCTTCTGTTGGTGTTACAATTCCTACATGGGGCAACGGGTACCATGGTAAAACTCAACAATGGTGGGTTTGAAGACATTGTCATTGCAATCAATCCTGCAGTAGCTGAAGACAACAAAATTGTCAACAACATAAAGGTAAGGTGGTTAGATGTTTCTGAATATATTGAATCACTGTCCCCTCAGGGACCTGTGATATGCTGGGAAAATGCAGTGTGCCTCATGTAAGCATAGGTTCCAGGGTGCTACTGGACACCCCTGTACCCAAGCATATAGGTGGGACCCATAAGAAAATGTCGAAGTGTGGGGTGCTGCTCTTCCCTGTTCTATTCAGCTATGCTTTCCTCCAGGATAATCCAATCTACCTTCTCCTGGTCTCCGCCACAGTCCATCATTTAGTTTTCATTAGGCTGTTTTTCAGGTGTGTCCCAAACCTCATGGGGGTTTTCTTTTCCTGAATATTTTTTTTTCATTTTCGCAAAACTTGTGGTGACTCCAAGCCTTCTTATAAGTCCCTCTTGTGAATTAATGGCGCTGTTTTGGCTCTATAATTAATGGCACTGTCAGCCTGAAAATTGCGAAAAGAGGGAAGGATGATTATGAAAAGCAATGGAATTCCTGAAGCCCAACATGCTGAGCTAAGTGTGGTTTTGTTAGCTCTGTGTCAGAGGTAAATACTCTGGGATAAATGTTGTGCTGGTTTTGACCATTAGATGTGGAAATGCCCCATTAACCAATTAGAGCTGTGTGGGCACCAATTATCAGGATAGTACAGTGGAACCTCGGGTTATGTACCGTCCTCCTTGTGAACACTTCGGGTAACGAGCTCCGCTAACCTGGAAGTAGGTCTCCTGGTAGCAAACTTTGCCCCAGGATGCGAGCAGAAGTCACATGGTGGTGGCGCGGTGGCAGTGGGAGGCCCCATTAGTGAAAGCGTGCCTCAGGTTAAGAATGGTTTCGGGTTAAGAACGGACCTCCAGAACGAATTACCGTATTTTTCGCTCTATAAGACACACCAGACCATAAGATGCACCGTTTCTGGAAAACAAGAAAAAATATTCTGAATCCCAGAAGCCAGGACAGCCAGTGGGATCGCAGCGCAGTGATCCCGCTGGCTGTCCTGGCTTATGGGATAGCCGCGCGCAGCCTCTCCAGGGCAAGGGGAGCCTTCATGGAGCCTTCACGGAGTGTGTGTGCTACTCTTGGGAGCTTTTACCCAAGAAGGGAGAAGGGCAGCCCTTCTCCCTCCTCAGGAAAAGCCCCCAAGAGCCGCACACATGCTTCACGCAGCTCTTTAAAGGGAGCACAGAGCAGAGCCTCCCGACTGCATTTGCTCCATAAGATGCAAGATCCATAAGACACACATTTCCCTTTACTTTTTAGGAGGGGGAAAGTGTGTCTTATAGAGCGAAAAATACGGCAAGTTCGTAACTGGAGGTACCACTGTACGCGATATGGAAATAAACTAAGGGGCAACATATAAACACACAACCTTTTTTAAAAAATAAAATCAATCAATCGAAAAGAGCTGTGGGGAACTAAATTTAAGAATGGAAAAGGGATAAATTGCGAAAAACCAAAACCAAAATATTCATGCATCTCTTGCCTACATCATTTTTAGTGCCATACAAAGGCATTTTATTTTCCACAGCCCTCTTTCAGGTTTAACTGTGCTGTTTTTTATCAGTATTTTGATACTGTTTGCTTTACAATGAGCTAGATCATGGGAAGTTAGCTGAACTTTGGTCCCTTTAAAATCAGTGCAGTTAGTTGGTCATGGCTTATGTCCCATTAGTTTCAATAGGAACTAAGTGCAACAAACAACACGTTCCTATGCATGTCTGTTCAGAAGTTTGAGTTCAATGGGCTGTACACCCAGATAAGTGAGCAAAAATTGAAGCCTAACTTACAAGGCAGTCTAAGCTTGCCACTGCATACCCTCCAACATTTCTCTGATGAAAATAGGGACATCCTAAGGGAAAACGGGACATTCCAGGATCAAATCAGAAACTGGAATGGCTTCCCTAAATCAAGGACATGCCTGGAAAATAGAGACACTGAATGGCCTGCAATTCCTGTGCCAGATCCAAGCTGGTGAGCAGATCCCGGGCCTGCTCAGCACCACCTTGGCCTCACAATGATCTGTTTTGTTGCCTTTGGGCAGACTTTCCACCTGCGCAGGCGTTCAGTAGGCAGAAGGGGGAGTCCACCCTGGTGAAGCAGCACAACTGTCACTCTGGCACCAGTGGGAGACCAACTGAACCAGTGGAAGTGAGCACAGAGATGCCATTCAAGCCAATTCTCCCAGCCTGGCATAAGAGGGGATTGGGTTACAGCCTTAGCGTGGATTCAAACCTTTGTATTTTTTTCTATATTGTATTGCTTTATTTGTAAATGAAGATGGAGATATTTTAGGGTGAATTTGTCCTACTAAACAAATTATCATATGCAGTTTTTACTAGTGTGTATATATGCAGAGAGAATTGTTTTTTTCTTATACCTACATTTCTGTAGCTGTTTTCCCCAATAGATGCATTTTTAGGGAACTACACTGAACAATTCGGCAAAGTGCAAATTCTGAAGGCTGGAGTGTTTGGGGTTCATGTATTGGTCTGGGAAATGCAAATTAGCTTCTCGTTAAAATGCAAATAAAGTAAAAATTAACACACACACCCATTCCTAGGGTAGGTGCTAGACAAGTTTTCTTGGGGAGACAATTCCCAAAATATACGAATATCCCACTTGGGAATTTTCTGTTAATCGTCTCTTAGGCTTACTAATGCCTTTTTCACTAAACAGAGATGGTTGTATACTCTATGCAGTGCAAACAAGAATAAGCAATATGGTTACACACCCAGAAAGTTAAGAGGCACAACTTTTCTCACTGCTTTCCACCAAACTAAGAATGGTTTTGCTTATTGAATTTGTTTATGGCAAGTTGCTGTGCAAACCATTAGAGAATAGGAGCATATTGAAGGGCATCTATTCTACTTAAAGATTGGAGGTTAGGGAAGGCTGCCTATCCCCCAATCTTTTCAAATGAAATACCTCCAGGTTCAGGAGGGAGGGCAGAAAAGACCCAATGCACATTCTGCAAGTGTGAATGAGAATGCTAGCCACTGAACACTCATTATTTTCCTTGTAGGATATGATTAAAGAAGCATCTGCTTACCTCTTCAGTGCTACAGAACAAAGATTTTATTTCAAGTCTGTAAAAGTTGTAATTCCTTTGACATGGGCAGCAAAACCTGAATATGACAGAGTGACTATAGAATCCTATGACAAGGTAAGTGAGGCATATGCATTAAAATTTAAATGTGCTTGAGGGATTTAAAAGAATATTGTGGCAAATAACAATAACAATAATAAACATTGGGGCAGAAATTGCAAAATAAGACTGATCTAATATTCGCTTGGGGTGGTGGGGAGAATTCTTCAAATATTCCGGGACTTACATTTTGGTAGCTTTAATAGGGGCTGAGACAAATTCATGGAAAATATCCCTAGCCATGACTGTGAGCCATAATACCTCAATGTAACTTCTCATTGAAAAGGAAGGAGTCTCTCAATACTAGCTGTTGCTTTTCTGTCTGTCAGCTTCTAGGTAATTGCTGTTAGAGTCAGGATGCTGGACTTGTTATTGTTATTTATTGCATTCATATTCCGCCTTTCCCTCCATGGGGCTTAAGGTGGCATACACAGTTTATCCCTCCTCATTTAACCTGCACAACTGTGAGGTAGGTTAGGCTGAGAAGTGGTGAATGGCCCAAAGTCACCCAGTGAGCTTCATGACCAAGTGTGGGGGGGGGCTCAAAACCTGGTCTCCTAGCCCAGCCCTCTAAGCACTTCACTTGGTGCACTATGCTTGATGTGATCCTGAGGGCTCTTATGTTGTAACATGTGACTGTATACATCTTTATTGAAAATTACACTGCAATCCTATATATTGGGCCTAAGCTCAACTGAACACATCATGTCTTCTTTCTGAATCAACCTGCATGGCATGGGGCTGCATGTCCCATGAAACACGCAGGCGTTTACTCAAAAGAAATATGGAATCCCAACGGTTTTTAAGAGATTTTTGTTTCAGGCAAAAATTTCCGTTCAACCCTACGGTCCAGAATTGTGCCTTTCTATGCAGAACAAAAATCTGAGGGTGGTTTGCTGAGGCAAAACCCACCATATAGCATTAATATCAAAGGTATTTTGGTGATCTTTCAACCAAGTTCTATTTTACTTTAGGCTGATGTCATAGTGGCAAAGCCTTACCTGAAATATGGAGATGATCCCTACACCTTGCAGTATGGCGGATGTGGGAAACAGGGAAGATACATTCATTTCACTCCTAATTTCCTGACAAATGACAGTTTGCATGCTGTTTATGGATCACGAGGTAAGGTAAAGGTAAAGGGACCCCTGACCATTAGGTCCAGTCATGGCCGACTCTGGGGTTGCAGCGCTCATTTCGCTCTATTGGCCGAGGGAGCCGGCGTACAGCTTCTGGGTCATGTGGCCAGCATGACTAAGCCGCTTCTGGCGAACCAGAGCAGCGCATGGAAACGCTGTTTACCTTCCCGCCGGAGCGGTACCTATTTATCTACTTGCACTTTGATGTGCTATCGAACTGCTAGGTTGGCAGGAGCAGGGACCAAGCAACGGGAGCTCACCCCGTCGCGGGGATTCAAACCGCCGACCTTCTGATCGGCAAGTCCTAAGCTCTGTGGTTTAACCCACACCCGCGTCCCGCGGATCATGAGGTAGTACCTGTTAATTCATCTTAAATTATTTGTATTTATTACTACAGTCTTAAATAGTAAATGTTTCAAATGACAATAAACAGAGCAAGAACTGAGAAACCATGAATGGTTTGGTTTTATTTGCTTAATATCTCCTAAGTTTATATAAGGAATTAGCAATATTTTCATGTTGGGTTCATCTGAACATTTTCAGACCATAAAAGCTTGCTTTCTGAAGCCAGCTGAACTTGTTCCTGTTTCACTTCAGGAAGCTTACTGTATTTCCATATCGGCTCTTAAAAGCTTGTCATCAACAATTGGCATAAAATGTACATAGCAGAGGAATGCCCTTTTCTGTAATATCTTGAGGTTCACAGGGGAAGCCCAGTAGTATCCCATCAAGAAGTTGAGTAAATAATTTGGTTCTGGGTGAGGGATCCATAGTATTTAGTACCCAGGACACGTGAATAGTGTCACAATTAGCTTTGTTAATGGTCTTCCACAGGCAGAGTGTTTGTCCATGAATGGGCTCACCTCAGATGGGGAGTCTTTGATGAATATAACAACGATGCACCTTTCTATACTACTGGGATAAAGCAAGCTGAAGCAACAAGGTACTGTCCAAAATGTATACCTCAAACTATATAACCAATCCTTTATGGCTGATGTTTGCCTTGGACTTGTTAGTTTGGTTGTGGTATGAAGATTAACCTGTAATTTGATAGTATTGTAGGGAATACAGTTAAATTCCCGACAGGGGGTCAAAAATAAACAAGTTGATGAAATCATTAAAAATATATTTGTAAGTACAAGATAGTAATCCCAGATGCAGAAGTCACTACAGAGATCTCAATACATCTTTGCAATCTTCTCTTCTTCTTCTTTGGTGATCACTCGTAGCCGAGTAAGGTTGTCTTCCATAAACACAGTCTTAACAGTGAGTCCGTAAGTGACTATGGAGGCCAATTCTGGATCCACACGTCCTTCCACAGTGGGAACATTGCTTTCCAGGCAGGAGTTGATCACGGTGTAGATTTGCCAAGCGTGCCTTCCTCCTAGCACATTTCAATACAGGCAAAGGTACAGCATTGTAAAATTATAAAACCCATCCCTTTGTTATGTTAGTTTAACACAGTCATAAAGCATCCTTTCAGGGACACTAACCAATTAGCAGTTTCTTTTAAAGACAACAATCTTGCTGTTCTGGTTCTGACAGGATACAGAAGAGTTTGCTCCTTAGGGGAAAGTGGGGCAATGCTTTTCTCACCTGCCAGCCCCACAGTTAATACCCACCCTCTCTCTCTGCCTCCCCTGCATAATTATCAATCAGCTCATTCACTCAGAGTGCAACCCAAACTCCCCTCTCCTGACTGTGGGGCCTCCACAGTGGGGACCCCACCATGGTCACACTGGCAGAAGGTGGGGAGCAGAATGATCAACTTCATACATAATGTCTAATATTCTTCCATAACCCTTTTAAATATTTTGTCCAGAATCAGCCTGCTAAGTCCTGATTCCCATTTTTTATATATGAATGTCTAAGCGTTGCATGATTATTTGTTATATTTCTCCAAGAAACCCTTGCAATTAAAAAAAATGAGTACAATCTCTATGAGATCCATATATAGACTTTTTAACTAACTATATTTGCTTCTGTTATACTGATTAGATGCTCTGCTGGTGTCACTGGTCAATATATATTCCCAATTAGCCCAGGAAAAACGAGAAAATGCAAAGTTGAAAGCCGAACTCAGCTGTATGAAGCTGGATGTCAGTTCATTCCAGACAAAACACAGACTGCTCAAGCATCTATAATGTATATGCAAAGTCTCTCTTCAGTAAGTATGTGTAATGTCAATTGGAAGCTATAAGTTTCCTTATTTAGTGTCTGTCTTGAAAAATGCAAGATGTTGTCCATACTCAACTTTGGCTAAATTAAATATTATTTCTTAAGATTATAGTTTAAATCCTGCCACTAATATAAAACAACTTCAAGATTCTGCTGGCTGTTTCACTAAGGTTGGGAGAAACTGTGTTTCCAAAAAATCATGGTATTGTAGTTGGGTAGGAGAGCTGGAAAAAAAATATCACATCTGACAAGCATTGCACCCCTTTGGTTTCAGATAGAACATGGGTAGACAAGTCCAAAAAGCCCAGGGCACAACTTTTCATGGCCCTCTAGCGGCTATGGTGGCTCATTTAGCATTAATTCTGGAAGTGTATATTCAATTCTGACCAAACTAAGCCTCCTGATATATATTTTGCTCTAGGAGTACAGCAGCCAACTCCTAGGGGCCAAGGTCCCTTCAGGCTCCCCAATAAAATATTTGAGTGGGCTGCCCCCCCCCCAAGTTGATGGGCATTGCCATTCAAATGGTGTGTGTGCCACGTCTTGTGATTGATTATGCAGGACGGGGCTTACCTGTTCCTTCCACCCCCCAATATTTTATTCAGGTTGGCACCCTTGTCTAAAGAGGCTTAGTTTGGTCAGAATTGAGTATTAGCGATTAGGCTGCCTGTGGAAGAAGGGGCCTGCTACCTCTATCCCCAAAGGGAACCGCTTCTTCCCTGTTCTGGGATGCTGGAAAACCAGGGAAAGCACTTAGCTACACCCAATACAGGCCTCCTCCTCCTCGTTTAGTCAAGCTTCAACAGCTGCCCAGCTATTTCTCCCTCACCCTTCCCTCTGAAAGAGTACAAATTAATGAGATACTCTTGTAGCTACAGGGGAAGCAGAGGAAGCCCCCTTATTGGTGCTCAATTGCCTTGTAAAGAGATGGGATTCTGGGCAGAGGCAGTTTTAGAGTGCTGCAACTGGTGCAACTGCACAGGGTGCCACACTGCGGGGGGTGCCAAATGTTGTAGAACAGAGCATGAGAGGCAGGGAGGGCAAATTTTAGCATCACACAGAGGGCTGCTGAAATCCGAGAGCCCAAAGTCTGCCACTGACCTGGGTGCCACACACAAGCACTGACACTCTATGCTGCAAACTTATTAACTCTGTTGGCCATGGGATCAGCAGGTGAACAGAAACAGGCTCTTTGGAGACGCTTGCCATTACATTTTTTTGTGAGATAAAAGGCAACAAATGCCTACAAAGAAAAACCCACATAGCACCCTACAGCCATTTTTTTATGACAAAGAATGTCCACCTTCACAGCACCACTTCATAAGGAAATTGCTAAGAAGTGTGTGATTTTGACCAGTTCTCCTTCTCTTTTATTTAGGTTACTCAGTTCTGTAACGAAAGCAACCATAATATGAAAGCAACAAATATGCAGAATAAACTCTGCAACTACAGGAGCACCTGGGAAGTAATTACGAATTCTTCTGACTTTGACAATTCAGCTCCAATAACTGTCCCTCCACCTGATCCTACTATCTCCTTGCTGCAAGCACAAGACAGAGTTTTGTGTCTAGTACTTGATGTTTCTGGAAGTATGGCTTCGGTGAGTGTGTGTTTTCCATATCCATAGAAAATATTTCCTTTTTATTTGATTGTTTGTTTGATTTTTATTAAAAAATTATTAACTTTTCTGTTATACAATTTAAAATACTCATTTTAACAACCTTGAAATATCAGTGATTTCCCTTCTTCTCTTTCCATGGTTCATTTTGCATATCATAGATTCCTGCATATTTTATAAAAACTAAATCATTCAATATTCCATTAATACATCCATCAAACATTGAAAATGTTGTCTATGAGAATAAAAGAAAATCATTATAAATTAGTTTGGAGATGGTACTTAACACCAGTTAGTTTAAACGAAATAAACAAGGGATATTCAACGTTCTGTTGGAGGGGATGCTAGGAAACAGGGAATTATGTTCAGATGTGGTGGGGGTGTAAATATGTAAAAAAAAAATTGGCAAAGGGTGTTTAAGGAGATAGTAGAAATCACAGGGTTAAAGCTGACCAAAAGTCCAGAGGTAGCACTATTATCAATTTATGATGGGGTGGAAGGTTCACAGGCTTGCTCACACATTTATTGACAGCCACATGAATCATTATAGCTAGGAAATGGAAGGGGCAATTAGAATATAAAATTGAAGAATGGTACAAAGAGGTTTGGGATACAGTGGTACCTCGGGTTAAGAACCTAATTCGTTCTGGAGGTCTGTACTTAACCTGAAACTGTTCTTAACCTGAAGCACCACTTTAGCTAATGGGGCCTCCTGCTGCTGCTGCGCGATTTCTGTTCTCATCCTGAAGCAAAGTTCTTAACCCAAGGTACTATTTCTGGGTTAGCGGAGTCTGTAACCTGAAGCATCTGTAACCTGAAGTGTCTGTAACCCGAGGTACCACTGTACTCTTGAGCACAAGGCCACTCGAGAAAGGTGCAGAGGGGAGAGATATCTTCGATCACCACAGCCAACTGGAGTGGCAGAGCCTTTCCCGCTGGGCATTCTAGTCTGCTTGCCTCCTCCTACTCTGCCCACCCTACAGCTGTGGGAGAGGCTGTGTATGATCTGTTTTTTGTGCGCGGGTGGTGCAACATTACACAGGAGCGCAAGGCGTGATGTTTCAATGATGTGGAAGGCGCAGGGGCGGTATTACTTCAATCGCCGCACTCCTCCTGTGTAACGTTTCACTGCCCGCGCACAAATGAAGCCACGCAAAAACTCCGCACGGCAAAAACGGACTACCTAAAGGTGAAAAGTGCTAAAAGTAATTGAGAAAAAAGCTTCACCACTATCTCCCCTTCCCAAAAAGAAGCTCAACTCTGCCCTCCAAAAAGCACGAGTTATTGCTGGTGAGGGAACAGCCGATAGGAGGCATGTTGGACTCCTGCGGCTGTTAGCCTCTGGGAAACACCCCCCCCCCCCATTTCAACAAGTCAGGGCAATTTCCCCCCATTTTCTTAATTTGGAGTCCCCAAAAATAGGGGGAGTCGTATACATGGGGGCATCCAAAACACGGGAAAAATTGGTACATTCCAACAGGTCTCTCTCCAGTTGTGATATATGTTCCCCAAACCATCCTATCCTATCTTTCCTAAATACTTCGTTTAAATCATATTGTACCCATGTTAATTTTCCTGATAATTCCTTGAATTATTTTGATAATCTCCTCCCTCATTTTAATAAATAAGTTGTCCACCCTTCTATCATATTCTTTTTCTTTACCACAATAGCTTCCAACAGTGAGAACCAAAGTGTTTTTACCTCTACTAGAATTTTTTATTTTGGTATTTCTTTATATTTTTTCCTAATTATAACTATCAATTTTTTATTTGCTCCCTGCGAAGCACTGACAACTCTATGGATGTTGTATTTTAATTGATATGCAGAGCAATCGCATCACCCGACTGAAGCAAGCAGCAGAAATATTCCTCCTACAGATTATTGAAGCGGGATCCTGGGTTGGAATTGTCACATTCAATCATGTAGCACAAATTGAGTCCGATTTGCGACTGATCAGCAATGACAGTGTGCGCCAAACACTTACAGCCTTACTTCCTACCACAGCTAACGGAGGAACTACCATATGTGCTGGAGTGCGAACAGGATTTCAGGTAAATAAGTTTTTCCAGATTCTTATGGTGGTGCAGTGGGAAGGATTTGGGTCCAGCAAAGCCATCCAGAATCAGCATGTGAGCAAGAAACGCATCAGATATGCTACCTCTGAATACTAGGTTGGGGGAAGCACAATTTTCTCATTTGCCTCAGAGAGCAAAATTTATTTGGCCAGCCAAGAGTGCAGACATGTGTTTCCAAGGAATGCTATGGCAGTCATAGTTGAAGAGTACCTAGGGAGAGGGTGGAAGAACCCATTTTGATTTTGCACATATTTGCTTTCTTTTAAAATTAGTGAAGTAGCAAATGCTACTTCAACTGGAAAAAATATCACACCCATCTCACCAAAGTCTACTTCTGTCACAGGTAGAAAATTAGTCCACACTTTTGTCACTCATCTACAATGCAACACAACACACTTGAAGAGGTTTGCAGCAAGTTTCTCTTACACCTTAAGCACAAAGTGTCCCATTGCTTCTACATCACTAGTTGCTGCTAAAATGTTAAATCCTCTTTTTCATACAGGTGATTTTAAAAAAGTATCCAAATACCAAAGGCTGTGAAATCGTGCTCTTGACAGATGGAGAAGATGGCGGTATAAGCTACTGCTTTGACGAAGTTCGAAATAGTGGGTCCATAATTCACACAATTGCTTTGGGACCAAACGCTGCAAAAGACCTAGAAACGTTGGCAAATATGACAGGTAAGTGATTAACCAGAATGCCTTACATTAACTCTTTGGTGCTACTTGGTGCCAGTTGGTGTCTCCAAAAAGGAGTTTATCACAAGGTCAATCCAGCAGCAAAAAAACCCCTTTAATTTACACACAATTTACTCAGGGAGCCAAGTAATATGTGTGTTAGTTGATGGATGAATTTAAAGGACATTGAATCAGGAGACTGATGTTGGTATAGGTTATTAATTTGCAGAAATGAATTTATTTAAGATGACTTTATTTAGATAATGATGTGCAGGGCAATGAATGAGAACTGCACTGATTTGGAGCAGGATCTGTTTGAAAATTAACTGATTTGGAGTGATCTGGGGTTGGGTGCAAAGTATCTTAAGAACCTGAATGAGATTATTTGGATTGGTTGACTTGCTTTTGTGACATTTGAAGTCTAAATTTGCTTCTATACATATAAATCAGCATTTGCAAATTTATGTAAATTTGTAGCTATGGGCCTCTGCCCCAAATGGTTTAAATACCTACTCATCATAATCCATACCTAAGATTGCAAATTTTATACTTCATTGTAATCTTTCAACAGCTAGCCAGTTGTGAATATCTGATTTAGAGGAACTGAGAAAAAAGTGGTTTCTGATTCTTTTTAATACATACCACAGTATAAGAGAAACTAATTAAGTTCTCACAAAAGTCATAGATCCTGTTCCATCTGTAAATATGTGCCGTAATGGGCTGTTGGGTGTGTACAGTTCCCAGGGACACCAACATGGGGTGCAGGTATGATACATGCCCAAGTCAGAAGGGTGCCTGAACTCCTGGCTTTCTTTTTTTTTTTTTAAAGTCAATTGGAAATCCATAAAGTTAGAAAGCAAAACATGGAGGCAAATATTAGGCCAAAACAGGGAAGCTTCTGTTGCTAAGGATGCTTAATCACTGTTGCTAAGCAATCAGCATAAGGAACACTGACCACTCCTGCCACCAGGGACTGTGGAGAGGTAGGGGAGCATACTGGGCCCTGTAAGTCCTGTCAGCATCCTTATCAGTTCCTAACATTAAAAAGCTGCAGCTACCATTCAGAACAGTGTTTATGCAACCATACTGGATATGCTACTACAAGACACAGCAATACATTTTATTCCATCTGATAGATAACTCTAATTATGATTTCAATTGTATTTCAGGAGGTTTGAAATTTTCTGCCACAGACAGTTTGGATTCCAATGGCCTCATAGATGCTTTCAGTGGAATTTCTTCAGAAAGTGGAAATATCAGTCAACGATCGATTCAGGTCTGGATTACAAAGATTTGGGTGCAAGCAGTAGCCTATCGTAATGATTCTTATTATCTTAAAATTACTAGGCACTGTACAAAAATTGAAAACAACAGAGTGTGACATCAACTCTACAGCCTGTGATTTGCTCTTATTGTACAGAGCGAGACCCAGGTAGAATTTGCAGAGAAAGGCTAATTGCAGAGGCAGATTTTGGCAGAAATGAAACATTTCAAAATGTACAGGTCCGGTACAAAGAGCAACCATTCTCCCACCTTTGTAAAATAGGGCACAGCTGAGTCTCCTATCCCCCTTTCCATGGGCTACACCTAGAGGGCGAGTAGGGAGGCCACTGACCCTGCTTCCCCAGGGGGTGAAGGTAGGAAATCCCTAATTCAAACCCATATGCAAGTTGGGGCAAATTTGGCCATACCCCCAACCAGTAGGAGCCCACAAATTAGTAATACCCTAGCCAGGCCATCCTCAAGCCTGAGTATGGAGTGCAAACTCCCCTCGAGTTGCTTCTACAACTGTTTTGCTTGCTAGGTCCATGCATGGAGACAAAGCTGGTGGTATCTCCTGTCCAGGTGAATTCTTGTTTACTTCTCTTCCTCTGTGGCAGGTGTGGTGATCCTTTGGTCCTCCAGATGCTATTGAAATACAACTCCCATCATGCCTTGAGCCATGCTTGCTGGGGTTGATCGGACGTGCAGTTCATCAACATCTGGGAGCAAACTTTCCCTACCTACCCCTGGTCTATGAAATTAGATTTGTGTCTTCCAGTTTCAACCTCTTGTTTCTGATCACTGATTGGATTTGTCCTAGTTTGTTTGTTTTTTACTCATTACTGTTTTCAGGTATCCTGCTAATAACACAGCTTTGTGTTGAATTCAAAGACACCATCAAAATGTTATTATTGAAATTTATATACCACACTTCACCCGAAGAGCACAGGGCGGTTGTTGCTTTTGCACTGGATTTTTGTATTTGTCTATCAGTTGAAAATTTCCAAGGCAGCAAACAACCAATAAAAATCCATAAACAATTGCAATAAATATATTTGGTGGAGAAAAAACAATTACGGTATCTGCATGGAGTAGCTTAAGCATGCCATAGCTTATGTATGGAAAGGGTTGCTGAGCTGGAGTTGCAATGGTTCCTACCTGTTTAGCTGTAGCTGCTTATCTACGTTTCCTCCATGTTTTTAACAATGAAACACTGTAGGATATCAGTTTTATCCCTGTTGCACAAACCATGATCTGCATGGGACATGGGAAATCTCCTTGTGGCTGTACCAGCATTTTTATTAATGCCTCTTTATTATGTACTTTTTGTTCAGCACGTCTATCCACTATGAATTCACCTTCTAGGCAATGTACTGACCCTGACTTCTTTACTATTTTTGAAATAAAACATCTGCTTACCTGGGAGTCCAGGTGGGCAGCTATTGCTGCATGGTGCGGGCAAGGTGGGTGCAGGGGGCTGCCATCTTCTGGTGCGGCTGGGGGATGGGATAGCTGACACTGCCCACCTCTGGCTGCACTGGACCCTTAGGTAAGGGTGGGCAGTGCTCGCTCAGCCAATCAGAGGCTGAGGCTTGGGGGCTGCGAGCAGCCCACCCTATTTAAAATTAACTGTATGTATTCAGTTTATAAAACTTGCCAGGTATATCAACTTACCTAATACACACCAGCTTGAAGGTAAAGCATAAAGTGCCAGTTTCAAAGATTGGCTGGCATATTAAGTTCATACTATTTTCCTGCTATAGTATAATGCTTAAAGGTAACGGCGGGACGCGGGTGGTAATGTGGTCTAAACCACCGTGTCTCTTGGGCAAGCCAATCGGAAGGTCAGCATTCAAATCCGCGTAACAGGGTAAGCTCGTTGCTCTGTCCCAGCTTCTGTCAGCCTAGCAGTTGAAAAGCATACCAATGCAAGTAAATAGGTACCACTGTGGCAGGAAGGTAAATGGTATTTCTGTGCGCTCTGGCATTCATCATGGTGTTCTTTTGCACCAAAAGCAGTTTAGTCATGCTGGCCACATGACTGGGAAAGCTGTCTGTGGACAAATGCCAGCTCCCTGAAGGAGTGTCTTCACCCCCATCGGTCGGTCCGGACACTGAGGTCCAGCGCTGAGAGCCTTGGTTCCGAGAAGCTAAGTTACAGGGAACCAGGGAGAGGGCCTTCTCAGTAGTGGCGCCTGCCCTGTGGAATGCCCTCCCATCAGATGTCAAAGAAATAAACAACTATCTGATGTTTAGAAGACATCTGAAGGCAACCCTGTTTAGGGAAGTTTTTAATGACTGATGTTTTAATGTATTTTTAATCTCTTGTTGGAAGCCACCCAGAGTGGCTGGGGAAACCCAGCCAGATGAGCAGGGTAGAAATAATAAATTACTATTAATTATTAATTCTTTTTATTATTATTCTTTGGCCAGAAAAGCGAGATGGGTGTTGCACCCCATAGTTGCCTTTGAATGGACTTAATCATCTACGGCTCCTTTACCTTTTTACCTTTAACCATAATGCTTAACATTTTGTTTGTTTGTTTTAATACCAACAGCTTGAAAGTAAAAGTCATAGCGTCGGTTCCGGAAGGTGGTTTGATGGTACTGTAACAATTGATAAAACAGTGGGAAATGACACTTTCTTTGTCGTTACATGGAACACAAGCATATATCCACCAGGAATTCTGCTGATAGATCCCAAAGGAAAGAAGTACACCCACAACAACTTTGTCATTGATAATACAAATGTCCGAACAGCTCGACTCAATATTAGTGGAACTGCAGAGGTAAAATCCCAGCTCTCTGTGCATCTAACCTTGCAATTACTAGTGTGCCTTTTCCACATAGAAAATATGGAAATGTCTATCTTGTAGAGATTTATGGAACTACAGCTGTGCTATTAAAGGGTTGTGCCATTACAGGTAAAGTAGCATGATAGATTATGCAAGTGTGGAAGAACCATCTTCTATGTAGGATTTTGAAATGGTCTTAAAGACCTTCAATATTCCAAATTAGCATTTTCCCCACCCACAAAATATGATTAAGAGGGTTGTGTCTGCAAAGTCCAAAGCTCTAAAATGGTTCATGAAGTGTGTTAAGGCCCCTTCACAGCTGCCACTCGAATCTGTGCCAGCTTTGCTGAAGTTGAATCTCACTGGGAAGTTGCACAAGCTTCCTTCTTGGCTCCCTGATCCTAATGCTCATTTGGGAACTGAGGACACTTCCCTGCTCCTGCCCACATGAGATATCTAGAATATCATTTGCCAATGTTTTGGTAGCTAAGGTGTATTTTTTCTAAATAAAACTTCAAGGCCCACTTCCCTCTTCTACCCCTCAAGGGCTTATTTTTAGAGTGCTAAATTCAAACACACAGCAAATGGAGTATACTCACGCACATGCATACCAAGGTCCTCAGGTAGAGATCCTGTAACAAAAAGGGCAAAGGGTGAGGCTTGCTGACATGTGTTGCCTCTTTGGATTTCTGCTGTTTAAGTCTTCTCGGCATTGTAATCCATTCCCAGTTGGTTTCTTCCAATTGGCCTTCTTGGAATTGGTCTTATCAGGTCCACTTGGTCTTTTCCACCATTGGCTTCTCCATCCCATACTGCCCTCTCTGCCTTGGTTTTGAGCAGAAACTGTTTTTATAGTCACATGTTCTGGGGAACAAAACCCCTTTCCCATAAAATCCATATTGCCAATGGGCGTCTGCCAAAATCCTGGTTTGAATTGTCTCAGTATTTTCATTTCCTAGTTCATCCTGTGCACAGGATGACACTGCTGCCAGTACCCATTTTTCTTGGTACATTTTTCATAAAAGACATACTGTACCATCTTTATGAAAACACAACAACCAAAGGAAAAGCAAATGTATTTCTCCAAATTACTTAGATATTGTATATTGAATATTCTTCTGTATTTCAACACTTGATCTGCAGGTGGGAGACTGGGAATATTCATTTCAGAATACACATTCAACAGAGCAAATCATATCAATAACGGTAACCAGTCGACCAGCATCCGTATCTGTGCCTCCAGTTCTTGTGAAGCCCTATATGAATCAAGATACCAATAAATATCCTAATGCAATGGTCATATATGCAGAAATCAGTCAAGGTTTCTTACCTGTTATTGGTGCAAATGTCACAGCCATAGTTGAAGATGAGAAAGGAAAAACTGAAGAGCTTGAGCTTTATGACTATGGTTCAGGTAAGTAATTATTGCAGCATGCATTTTGTTATTTTTTCCCACTGACAACCAGTCTTTTCTAATTTGACATAGTGGCCTCCAAGGCCTCTTAGAAAGGTATTTTCAAAACCAGCCATGTGTGCTCCCTCAGATGCATTGAGCCAATATCCCCAATTGGAGCCTACTGCAAAGAAGGCCTGCTCTCTCATACCCATCCCTCAGACACAGCACACAGAGAAAGGCTTCAGGTGATGATTCCAGGGTGTGGACAGGTTCATATGGGGAAAGGTGGGCCTCTTAGTGGCACCCACCACAAGCTTGATAAATCTCCTGATTTTGCTGACTGTGACTGCAGAAAATGAAGTATGCAGCAAGTTCTAATACATGTTATTGTATTATGTTTGGTTTGGTAGGTCATGAGTTGTGCTGGCTTGTGTTATACAGATATTATTAACCAGTCCCTTATGATTCCATACTATCACATTAAGTCAGGCATTTTCTATTTCATGAAAACAGGAGCAGTTACTATGAAATAAACATCTCTTGCATGTGTTATGTAGGGTTTATAATGACCACAAGTGAGAGGTTTGCTTTGGATGTTAAGTATTAATATTTATGTTCTCAGGTGCTGATATACTCATGTATGATGGAATCTACTCAAGGTATTTCACATCATTCACACAGAATGGTAGATACAACTTAAAAGTGCGTGTCCAAGGGAAAGACAAGAATGTCAGATTGGTCCGTAGACAGAGTCAAGCACTCTATATACCAGGTTTTGTGGAAAATGGTAAGGATTCATTATGAAAAAGCATTTACTAGTAATATGTAGCTCTAGAGTTCTCAAAGTATGGGTATCTCGAGAGAAATGAAAACCTTTCCCTGCCATTCCCCTCCCCACTGTCAACCTTATGCAGTTTTTAGATTTAATACAGATATTGAGTACACATCTCTGACACCAGCGCAACAGTGGTGAGCTCTCGTTGCCCTGTCCCAGCTTCTGCCAACCTAGCAGTTTGAAGCATACCAGTGCAAGTAGATAAATAGGTACCGCTGTGGTGGGAAGGTAAACGGAGTTTCCGTGCACTCTGGTTTTCATCACGGTGTTCCATTGCACCAGAAGCGGTTTAGTCATGCTGGCCACATGACCCGGAAAGCTGTCTGTGGACAAACACTGGCTCCCTCAGCCTGAAGCGAGATGAGCACCACACCCCATAGTCGCCTTTGACGGGACCTAACCGTCCAGGGGTCCATTACCTTTTACAACTCTGACACAGTCTATTCTACTTCTTGATTGAATGCAGAGCCTGCTCAACAATGAGGCAGGGTGAAGCACCTGCCACAGGTAGTAGAAACACAAGAGGCAGTGCCCCACCCATGCCACTGCTTCTGTCACCATTGGAATGTCCCACTGCCAGCAAGAGGGAAGTATTCTGGCAAGTGGCATTGTTGCTCATCTTCCCTGCCCCTGCAGTGGCCGCGTTAGTAGAACATCCTGATTCTCAGAGTTTGGCAAGAAGGGGGCGTTCTTGCACACAGTGTTGCCACTCATCTTCCCCACCCTGGGGCAGAGAAGATGAATTTGCAGAATGCCCCTCAGGTGGTGAAGCAAGCTGGGCCACTCCTCGCTGAATATGTTGGGAATCAATGGAAAAATTCCCTAAGTTTTTAGGCTTTAAAATATTATTCTGGCATCCTTCTTCTGGAAAATACCTACAATGCATCTACACTCACACAAAAAACCCCACACATACCCCAACTGTCACAGAAGAGTTTAAGACATGCAAAAAATTGAAAAGAAGTAGGAAAACTAAGTAGAAGAATATTGTCAAAATTTTAGAAATAAAAATAAGTTTTGCAAAACTGGCAGTTAAGAGTTGGTGGAACATAAAACTGTTGTGGAGAAAGACTGGCAAGTTAATAAGAGTACAGATTTGAGGGAACTACAGCAGAATTGCTCAGTAGACCGAATTACAGTTGGGATAGTGAAAATGTTTTAGAAGAAACACAAGTACTATAGTTTTCTGCATACTGAATTTTAGTGATTTATTGACAGCCATGAAGAGATACCTGTTAAGCTTGTCAAGAACTGAAATTGTGACTGGTAGTATAGAGCTGGGTATCCTCTGCATAGAAATACTGTAAACCAAATGAGGGGACAAGAGAAGCTAAGGCTGGCTATATAGCGAAAAATAGGTATCTACTGCAGATTAATAACAAATCATAAAATTGTAGAGTTGGAAGGGACCTGAAAGGTCATCCAGGAATCACAGCCAAAGAATCTCTGACAAATGGCCATCCACCTCTGCTTAAAAACCTCTAATGCAGAGAGGGTTCATCCTGGTATTTCTTCAGTTTGTCCCAATCTGCAGAAAATTGATGTTTATTTCAATTCAGCAGTAAAGCATGTTTTTTCACAGGGAACATGGCTGGACAAAATAAAATCCTCTTGGACTTGTGCCGAGAAGGCACTGGACAAACAGAATGAACCTTGGATCAAACAGAAGTGTGGATGAGCATAGTCTAGAACATTCTGAGGTGTTCCGTTCCACTGTTGAACAGCTCTCACCACCAGGATGTTCTTCCTGATGTTCAGTTGGAATCTCCTTTCTTGTAGTTTGAATCCATTGTTTTGGGCCCTACCTTCTGGAGCAGCAGAAAACAAGCTTGCTCTATCTTCCATGTGATAGCCCTTCAGATATTTGAAGATGGCTATCCTATCACCTCTTATACATGCCTTGTCTTCGTTTTGTGTTTGCACACAAGGAAATAAATCAGACAGACTTTCAGAATATTGAGAACGTTTGCAGAGATTCTAGTTACATCTTATGACACAATTTTTCTTTCTTTCTTTGGAAGGTGTAATAAAAATGAACTCACCAAGACCTGAAGCTACTGAGGATGAAATCCAAGCAAACCTAGGAAGTTTCAGCAGAGTTGCATCTGGTGGTTCTTTTGTGGTATCAGGAGTTCCTAGTAATCCCACAGATGTCTTTCCACCCTGTCAAATCACTGACCTTGAGGTGGAGCTAGCTGCCGATGATGACGAATTCCTTTTGTCGTGGACAGCTCCTGGGAATGACTATGACGTAGGACAAGGTAAGTGTGGAATCCTGTTTTAATCAACCACTATGACTCCCTTGCTTAGATATATATTTAAATATGGCAAAGGAGGGGTTTATACCAGAATTAATCTCCCTTTAATATGCTAGAATAGCATGACACCGTTGCTCTGGGAAGACTGCAGTTCTAGCATCCTTAACAAACTACTGCTCCCAAGATTCTTTGGGCCAAGTCAAGTGTTTGACTGTATGGTTTGAACACAGACATTGCTTTGTTTTAGTCCAGAAGGATTCCTAGGTATAGAATATGCTTTATTTGTTTGGAGGTGTAGCTGTTTTTCCTGTGTTGTGGGGGCAGGCAGGTAGAGCCACATTAGTTTTTCTTCTGTGGAATGAGTTGTTTTCGATGCCTGTAACAGTGCTTAGATTTCTAAATGTCCCCCTGGACCAAAAATGGTTTTGTTTTGTTTTTTTTTATAAGATATTTATTAAGGTTTTCAAGATTTTACAAAACGCACAAAGAAAAAAAAATACAAAGTAAAAATATTTAAAAACAATTCATTCCTTTCATTGCTTGACCTTCATTTGCTAATTTCCAGGCCCTCCTCACACCTTCCTTTTTTGTATTCCAGTTCAGTTATTTCGTTCAGTAAATCCCTCCCCTCTTTATGTATCCTAGTCCTTAATCACAAAAATATTGTAATTTTAGATTTTTACATATTAATAAACCCTTTTTTCATATTCCCTTATGACCTTTCAGCTAAAGACCACTTAGTTTCTATCCAACAATGGTTTTGGACACTCCTGACAAATACCATGCTTTTAAATTAGCATGGAATGACAGCTGATCTTAACAGCTTTGACATGGTGGCCATGTGAACCAGCGTGTGCCCTGGAATATTTTCCAGTCTTCTGCCACACACAACGATGCAATGGCTGGTATGCAATATGCTTAGGGTTCCTGGAGGATAGGAAGTTATGCACTGATAGGCTTGTCACTGTTTCCTTGATCCATGTTTGAAGATGTACATCTAACGCATGTCTGTTGTGGGTCCTTTATTTTGCAGCTGAACGATATGAAATAAAAATGAGTGAAAATCCCTTGGAATTAAGAGATGCAAGTTTTGATAGTGCCACTTCTGTGAACACTACTGGACTGACAGTGGAAGTCGCTGGGGTCAAACAATCTTTTCAGTACAAGTCAGAAAACTTAACAAAAGAAAATGGCTCCTCCATCTACTTTGCCATTCGTGCCATTGATGGCAGCAACAACGCTGGAAAACCATCTAATGCAGCAAGAGCAGTTGTGGTTTTTTCCACATTGCCAGCTACTCCCACTTCTTCAACTGGCACTTCCACACTGCTAAGTACTGCCATTAGTCCAAACAACACTACCACTGCTCACACAACTTCCTCTGCCATTAGTCCAAACAACACTACCACTGCTCACACAACTTCCTCTGCCATTAGTCCAAACAACACTACCACTGCTCACACAACTTCCTCTGCCATTAGTCCAAACAACACTACCACTGCTCACACAACTTCCTCTAATGTGAAACCCACTGGTGCTAATGATCCTGAGATCAGTGTGATAAATGACACAACCAAAATTGTGATCATTGTATGTGCTTCTGTGATCATTATTTGTGTTATTGTAAGTATAACCATCTGCGTTGTACATAAGCGAAGAAACAGAAGTCCCCAGACTGGAATGTAATACAACTACAATGTTGGAGAAGCCTCTAATATAGCAAGGGCAGTTATGATTGTTTCTCCATTACTTGGAGCTACTCCTAGTCCAAACAACATTTATACCACTCCTTCTAATGTGAAATTCTATTCCTAACACTTGTGATAATAGTATGTACTTCTGCAGTTATTATTTGTGCATTTGCAAATCTAACAGTATGCTTTATTTAAGTGAAGATACCGAAGCCCTAGAACTTCTGAGACTGGAATGTAATAATTATATATTAACTTTTAGGAGTCAGATATCCTAAATTATACAATGGAGAAAGAGAGTATATTCCTCTTTCTCCATTGTGTTATTATATAATTAGTTACATGATTTTAAATGGAACTCCTTCTGTATCAGATTGTGGTGTATTTCATTGTTTCCAAAAATTCTAAATGGTAATGTATACATACACAGCTTGAATAATAGATTAATATTATCTATTGTAAACAATGAAAGCTAAATTATATTATTGTATGTCCATGTCCTGTAACAATTCATAGATGAAAATAAACACATCTGTGTTCAATAAGACTTACTCCCAGGTTAGTGATTACAGCTTAAAATAGATTAGAATCCCTGATTCACCTATAAAAATGCACTATAAAAGTTGTATTGCCTTCTTACTTTTTGATAGCAGCGCACAAACTGGTAAGGGGAGAATGGTGAAAAATTATTAAAGAAGAAGATTCCATGGAGAAGCCTGGAACAATTTTATTTATGTTTTCTGATTAAAGGAAAGGAAAGTGGTCCACCATCCCCATGATTAGGATACTGTGCTATGGACTCCCCCTCTCCCATGTCATGTCCTAAGCAGCCATCTCACATACACAAGTCCTGTGTAGCAGGAAGACATGAAAAATAATCTCTTAACTTCAACTGGGTAGGTTGATTTGAAGAGGTGCTAACGGAGGGGCTCATGCTACACGGCTGACATGAAGAACTCCACCAGGGCCGGATTTTATTGGTGGGCTGCCCTCTCTCCCTGTTAAATTTCAAAAAAAATAATAATCAACCACCTGGTTACCAAAACTGCCAATTAAGGATCTTAGAATTGTAGCGTTCTCCTCTAAAGTTTCAGTATCACCTTATCTAAGCTCATACACCTACAATTGATGCAATGCTCAGATCTGGAAAAAATGATACATACTCTATAGTACAATCCTATTCATATTTACTCAGATATAATTTTGTTTGTGTTCAACGATTGTTATTCTCTCCCCAGTCTGACCATGTTCATTTTCATATAAAGGCACTGAACTGAACCAAATATCCTTAACTGGAATGTAGTGGAATCCTAGAAAATTATATTTGGACACTGTGACATCTAAATAATCATAACCAGACGATGGTCTGAAGACACAGGTTGCATCAACGCTGCTGAAGTGAAACTCTTCTGCATCTGGTCAGTGTTTAAATGAAAGACTGCCTATGTACATAACATGGATGCTTATCAATGAAAAACGAGATTGTCATTAATGATATTTCTATGATACCCTATGATCAGAGGTCTCTGGGCATCTTACAATAAAATGTTAAAATAAAACTCAACTATAAAAATACAACAAAATCAAGCAACAGAGAATAAATTAAATCAAATCAATAACAGCAAAAATTAACAGCCCACAGAAGCAGAAACAGTAAAAAGTCATTGTGTATTGTGTTTTTCATATTTGGTTGGGAGCTGTTGTTAGACTTCTGTTTCAGTGTATCTGGAGAAGTGTGCACGCACACTAAAGCTCATACCAATAACAAACTTAGTTGGTCTCTAAGGAGCTACTGGAAGGATTTTTTTAATTTTGTTTCGACTACGGCAGACCAACACGGCTACCAACCTGTAACTAGAACTGTTGTTGGACTTCAACTCCCATCAGGCCAAGATAGCAGTGTCAATGGGAGTTGGAGTCCAATGACATCTGAAGGGCCACAGGTTAGCAACTCCTGCCATAAAGCCTTTAGAATTATAAAATAAAAAAGGGGGGGTTGTATGTGTGCATGCATGCACAAGTGCACCACGCTTATGGCTCTTATGGCTCTACATACCACAACTGCCATGTTTCCATGCACATATTGCTAAACTGGATTGCTATACAGTGGCAGACATGCTTTAACCCTTGGCGTGTCCCAAGGGAGGCTCTCATTTCTAGAGCAAAGTAAGTGTGCAGATGTGAGGTGTCCTATACCCCTTGCCCAACTTTTATTTGTTCAACTTTCCTCATCTAAGTGAGTGCCTTTCATTCCATCAGAGACAGATTTTTGCAATGGAACTCGTTCCGCTGCACTGGGCGCCAACACAAGGGGGCACTGCAGGACTTTCCAAGTATAACTCCTCTCCCCTCTCCTTGGGAATCCTCTGGGCAGCCACTGGTCTCTGAGCTGCCCGCCCCCCCCCCCCCCCCGCTCCAAAGAGAGGTACCTCCTCACACTGCCCCAAAGAGGCCTGGGAAGAACCCCCTGGTCAGCCCCAGAGGCACCATTCACCTGGCGAACTTGTAGCCAGGGCTGCTGCAACAAACAGCTGTGCAAGTCTTTGGTACGCAGACATGCAAGAGGGTATCAGAGGAGGGAGGGAAGGAAAGAGGGATAGAGGCCAGAGTTGCCTGCAGCACCCCTGACTATCATTCAAGACACCCCAAGGTGCCACAGCACACTGGTTGAAAACCACTGACATAGTAAATTGAGCAGAAGGCAAGGTGGGGGGCACCAAATTTACCTAATGGGTCTGTTGACATCATGTCTCATACTTAGCTCACTAAACTAGAAAATCTGGATGTTCACTACTATCTTTGGGGAAAAGTTTTGACCACTGTGATGCTGCAATCCAGATAATCTCTTTATTTCAGGTGAAACTGACACATAGTGCTGGAACATTGTGTAAATGCAACTTGCCCCACCCCAGCAAAAGTGTTAAGTAAATAGGTTTTATTATACTGACATCTAGTGGACTCCCAAAGCACACAGAACTATTATGTGGTGTGATCCTATGTATGCTTTATCAGAAGTCCCTCTGTGTTGAGTAAGGCTTACTTCTTTGTAAATTCATTTAGAATTGCAGCCTAAGATCAGTTTCTAAAGCCATGCTTTATTTAATGGACCAAGATGGGTAAATGGCTGAATAATGTGCAGCGAAATCTTCCAGCAATTATCCATCTATTTTATTGCATTTATATACTGTATTTCAGGGGTGCCATCTCACCCTCAGGATTGTGGGTGCCCGCCGCTGCCAGGCAGATCTGTGATGTTACACGCACACACCAGCACATAGTGTGTGTGATGTCACATGCACTATGTGCAGGCATTGAAAAGAACTAAAGAAAACTGTCAAACATTTAAACCACCAAGCGTCACAGCCTGAAAGGACAAAAAAGGGATAATTAAATATTAACTCATACCTTCTCAAAGCACACACCTTAATGTGCCTCTAATTCAACTCAATCACACACAGCGTTCGAAATTCCCATTGTTCTGGGCGCGTTTTGCGACAGGGAATTTCGTGAGCCGTTTCTGAGCTCTGGGCCCAGTACTGCACCTAAAATATAGGATTAAAATGGCCACTGTTACTCAGAAATAAATTCCAACCAAGTTCAATGGGGCTTCCTACCAAGTAAAACGTGCTTGGATTGGGGACCTGAAAAACTTTATTTTTGCTTTTCAACCCAACATGTTTCATTTAGGTTTTAGTTGCCTTGTTTAATGTACTTTTAATGTATGGTGTGCTTTTAATCTGAAATATACTAGTCAGTGAGTTATGATGGTTTAAGTAGTGCATGTTAAAGTGTTCTCTACCTCACTCTCACAGGGATGCTTAAAATCTAAATAAATTGGGATCACTGAAGGACCCTTAAGTCTTAGGTTTGCGAACTGGACACTGCCACCAGCTGTATAGGTCTTTAATATGTGTTAACTGTGGTGCCAAAAATGATATTTTTTAATGAAGGAAAGGGGATGTAGGGAGAATCCAGGGATTGTCTGCTGAGTGGAAGGAAAGGGGGACCTTTTCTGTCTCCCTACTTCCAGCTACTCTCTGAGTAGTGGGGTGGGCAGGGCAGGGGAAGGACTAGACACTGTGGAAAATGAACATAATATTTTAGCTGCAGTTCGTTCATTTTCAGCTTTGTAGTCTTTTTTTTAAAATGCTTTTTATTAAGTTTTCATTTCAAATACACCAACACCAACAAAATACACAAATATTTCAAATCTTATTCAGCTTTGTATTCTTGCTATTAAAAAAGCGCGCCTAGACATTCCGTTCTGGCGCCTGTTTTAAGGTGCCATTTCATATTTCAGTTTCTAACACTGAGAGAAAAATAAGTTCCTTGTCGTTTCCCCTTCAGACACAACTCACCCGAAACGTAGAACGAGCGAAATGAAAGCTCCCGTGCCAGCGACGAAAAAAGCCGTTTCCTCCCTTAGGGAGCAACCACCGCTCCTTTGCCTTCTCCTCGCGAAGCCTCCCTTTTAAGGGGCGGACTTGGGGGCGGCGCTTAACCCCCGTCTCGCGCCTCCTTTCCCCTCGATCCCGCCCACCCCGCGCTCCTCCCGCCCAATCAGATGCCGGATCCGCAGCAGTGCCCGGCCGGGCCCGGCAGCGCCCTTACGCCGCCGCCGCCTTGGCCGGCAGCTTCTGAGGCGGGCGCGCCGTGACAGACGGACGGGAGGGACCGTCGCCGGGGGCACCGTCAACCCCCCCCCCACGAAGATGAACATAATGGACTTCAATGTAAAGAAGCTGGCGGCCGACGCCGGCACGTTCCTCAGCCGCGCCGTGCAGGTAACGGAGAGGCGAAGGGCGACTAGAGCTGGCCTGGCTTCGCCTCAGCGGCGAGGAGGACGAGGAGGGCGGCGGCTCCTCCGACCTGGCCCCCCTCCTCCTCCTCCCCGGGCGCCGTTGAAACCGTTGGTTGCGCGCGCCGCCCTTATTTGTTTATTCAAAGGCAGAGCTCGAGGGGGGCCCACACACACACACACCCCTCCGCTAAGTGGGGCCTGGCCGGGCCTTGTCACGGCTTGGCAGCCTGGTGGCGCCTCGTCCTCTCTCTCTCTATCTCTCCACACCCCCGCGCACGTCTAAGCCGCCGCCCATCCGTTGTCGCCTTTCTGCGGGGCTGGAAGCCGAGAGTCGCCCTCCCTCCTTGGCTGGCCTTTGAGAGGCCTCAGGCCGGCTGTCTTCTCGGCGCCCGCGGCGGTGGGTGGGACGGGCCTGACCGCCTGTTACCGGCCTCAGGGGCTTACGCAAGACCTCCCCCTCTCCTGGGTGTGGGTCTCTCTCTCTCTATTCCCCACCGCCGCCGCCCACTCCCTTCCCCTGGCCGGCTGTGCTAAGCCAACGGGGAAACGGGGCCTGCTCGAAATTTTGGGCATGGCCAGTGTTGCCTGTAGGCGAAGACTCGCAGCGGCCTAGTTTTTAGTGTTTGGCGTTTTATTACGTTTCTATATGTGTTGGAAGCCGCCCAGAGTGGCTGGGGAAACCCAGACAGATAGATGGGCGGGGGTATTATTATTATTATTAATTGATGGGTGGCGTGCTTTTAATATTTTTATTTATTAGAGAGGGGTGTTAATAATCATATAATGCTATAACATAATATAATAAACATAATAATGTTTTTTTTGTACTACAACTCCCATCCTCCCTAGCTAGCAGGAACTGTGGTCAGGGATGATGGGAATTGTAGTGCAAAAGACCCAGCTGGAGGCCCAAGTTTGGGGAAACCCTGCTCTAGGCCCTCTCATGTGCTATCCATGGAAGCAGACATATGGGGAGCGGAGGAGGATTGTGTCTTGTGGCCTTAATCTCCACACCTTTACCCACATTTCTGAATGGTGTGGTGGGGAATTGGGGCTTTTAAAATGGGGTGTTGCTTCCAGCTTAGCCTTGAATCGGGCTTCCTGTCTTACGCAATCATTTCTACAGAACATCAGTGCGGTAGACCTCCCGCTACGTATTAAGAATTCACAACTTAATTCCAGGGTAGTGTTTCATATCTGACAGGATTTAATTAGAAATTACACAGTAACTACTTCCAGAAAGTGGAAATACATTAATCTCCCCCTCTCTCTGTGCTGCAAAGAGTGCCATTTCGTTGATCTGTTAAGTTCATTGAGCTACTCTTGCCAAAACCTTTCCACACCTCCTGTCTTCTCTTGCCCTTGGAAGCTCCTATCAAACATGCAAGCTGACTGGAAGTGCCATGTTCTAAGGAAGCATATAGTTACCCGATGCTGAGGACAAACTGTGCATGTGGAAGTGGTGCTGTTGTCCTTGTGAGCTTCAGAGGCACATTTCAGTTGGGCTAGATGAAGACAGGTGTTTGCCCAAGACCAACCACAGATTGATCGGAAGACAAAGTGCTGGGTGTGTGTTGCAAACAATAAAACTCCGCAAATGAATCTTCCCTTTGCTTACCCACTAAACATTAATTTCCTTTGCATCAAAGATGTATCAGTTTTTCATTTGCCTCTTTCCAGCTCTCTTCACTCCTCTTTTTTCCAAATTAAAGGGTGAATAAAGGTATGAAGGACAGCTACTGTTCACCAGTACCTGGCAACCAGCTATCCTGTGCCTACCACCTTTTCTCTACTAGGCTGCAGTGTAGGCAGGAGTGAACCTTGTAGACCTCCTTTTCATCCTTGTGCCAGCTCTGTTGTAGAGTCTCTTAAGCTAGAAAGGCCCCATGCTGAATGGCCACCTACTTTTGAACCTTCAAAAGCATGTTGTGATATGGCGGAAGATCTTGTGACTAAAAAAGTGGGGCTGAGGTATAGAACGTGCAAATACTATTTTTCAAATCTTTGCTTTCTAGGGTTCTTCTAAAAAGTTAACACTTTAATTAGGAATTACTATTTAAGCAGCGATTGTTTCATAGATTAGTAATTTTGTGCTGTTCCTCTTTTCCATGTGAAGTTTCTGCATCTAGCCTTCACAAGTACTGAAGAGATGACAAGACAAACTATCTTCTTATTTAAAGATCTTATGATGCCTGTCTTGTGATGTTTAATGTGATTAACGTTTCTGTGAAAATGTTGTTTTTAATGTTTTTTCTCAGATTGGCTTGATTTCAAATAGATATATTGGTCTGAGTTAATCTGTTTCACTGGGTTTTTAACAACTCAGACCCATAAGTGGGTTAGAGAAATGGGTTGTCATAGTAATATTTTTAACCACAGTTATCCACTTTCCTGTTAGCTTCCTGTCTCTTGTACATTACTCCATAATTTTTGGGAGGAGTCAGTTGCATAATAGCTCCTAAGAACATTGGTCATGCATTTTTGACAGTGGCTACACATGCTCAGTTTCTTTTGTCAGTGCTATTTATAAGATAATCTTCCATCTTTCTTCAAGGAGCTCAAGCTTTCTCTCAAGACAAAACTACCTTAGGGCTGTTGGGATGATAAATGGGGCAAAGTAGCCCTAAGTTAATTTTGTCTTGAGAGAAAGTGAGTGACCCAAACTCACCTAGAGAACTTCATGACTGAGTGGTGATTTGAACCTAGGTTTCCCAAATCCTAGCTCAACGCTCCTGCTACAATTGCACCATAATGTCATGAAAGTTCATCTGCCACTAGATAAAAGCAAATCAGGGTAGTTAACATCATCAATAACAAACAATATAACTGTTGTTGAAGACAGCATTAAATAGTCAACAGCTCTGTGAATTGTGCTGAGAATCGTGGAATCCTATGGAGTTCATATATTTGTGGTTCCAGTAACCCAAGTTAATGCCTAGTGTCTCTTGAGTTCCTGAAGTTTAAGAGCAAACTTCACATACAACACACTGCATAGTATATTCTTGGAGTAACCAGAACATGGATAACTATGACTAAGCTCCTTCTATGCAAGAGGGGTCTCTGTGCAGGTGTCTCAGCTGGTGGAAGATGTTCTATGCTGTTCTGATTCAGCTTTGTTTCCAAAGGTCTATGAGCAATCCCAAACTGTAAAACTTGTTCTTTAGGGGGAGAGCAATCCGATTCACAGCAACTTGAATGCTACCTCTCTGGAGAGATGAGCTACCTTACATCTGTCTTGTCAGGATCGAGTTTCTCTGTGACCCTCATCCAGTCCATTACTGATGCTAAGTAATAATTCAATATTTCCACTGAAGCTGGGACCAATGCAGTATGCAGCACAGCTAACCAGCAGCTCTTCTAGTATTAGCTAGTCAATAATAGATTTAGAAGAAAGTTGGAAGGTTTTTGTGTGGCCCTTCATCAATATACTCCTTTTAAAATTAAAACAGATGAAGTTATTTAATATGGTATCAAATATGCCATATGGTAGATGATACAATGCAGCCTTGTAGATAAAAGCAGGCATCATAGCACTATTCCAGGTTTCCTCTGCCTGGGATATGGAAGTGCAGAAATCTGGAGGAAGTTTTAACATGGAAGTGGTGTGGCCTGGGGCAGTTGCTGCTTGCCCCAGTAAGTGACCAAAGTGTAAATTCTATTGACACTTCTTCATTTGTATTTGGAACCCTTTTAATTCTGTATTCTTTTAATAAGACCACATTTATGCACTTGACCTCTATGTAAAGTTTTGTGTTTAAGATTTGACTGAAAATATTATTCTTTGTCTTATTTCAAGTGTTGCATTCCTCCTTTTTGAAGTACTAGATAGACATCAAGCCAGTTGTTAGCTTCATTTTCATAGCAGTTTGAAGGAATAAAATAGGGAAATTTCTCTTTCTTGGATTATATTTCTGTTATGACTTTTTTGTGTATTGATACTAACAAAAGTTGTATTTCTGGACTGTAACATGTAAGGTGATTTGTTTGTTTGTTTGTTTGTTTAACCAATGTAGTTTACAGAAGAAAAACTTGGGCAAGCAGAGAAGACTGAATTGGATGCTCACTTAGAAAATCTTCTGTGCAAAGCAGAATGTACTAAGCAATGGACAGAAAAGGTTATGAAACAGACAGAAGTGTTGTTACAACCCAATCCAAGTAAGAAAAGCATGTTTTTATTTTGCTCTTGATGTTTGCCAGGTAACACTTTGTGCATGCTACATAGGACAGCCTTGTATTTAGCCAACTCATTTGGTTTCTGCGCTAGCTGTGGAAGAAGACAAGACCCTTCTACTGTAGGTAGCAAAAACATGCAGTGGGCTGGAGTAATGTCTCTCAGCCAGTTTGCTTGGCAGAAAACATCTTTTTCAACTTGCTAAGGTGTTACTGCAAGCCTCTTAATAGACGTGTGTGTGTGTGTGTGTGTGTGTGTGTGTGTGTGTATATATATATATATATATATATATATATATATATACATATACACACTGTAAGTTGGTTACTTTTGGGGCCTATTTACAAGACTGACAGCACAATCTGCTGAGTGGAGCACAGGTAGACCTTTTCTGTTGTTGACTATGAAGAGGCTTGTATTTGTAAACCTTATCTTTTGTGCTGAGCTATGAAGCCTGGCTTCATGGAAAGCCTATTGGTTCAGAGTCTTGCTGCTGCTTCAGTAACTGCAAAATGATCGGTAGCTTTATGACTTAAGAAAGTAAGTGTTTTGTTCTCAAAGACAGCTCTGTAGGATGATCTACCTCAGAACAAGTGGCTCTGTTCAGCTCTGACTTCCCATTTCAATCTGAAAACAAAATACAATTTATTGCAAACCGAAAAGTAAAATAATGATGATGATGGGGTACCTATTTGAACATCACTCCAGCTTTTACTTCACCCTAGCTAGTGTTGGGACATATATGTGTGCAGAGGGAGAAATTTGAACCTTGATAAAGCGGTAACTAGTTTAGTGCAATAAAACCAGTTTCCAGTCTGGAGCTAATTCTCCACATATTCTTTACAAAGATTTAAACAGTATATTGAATGAATGTTGCTGGTTATACTTTAAATATAAATCCCTAGCTTTTTAAGAAAAAATGGGTATAAAGTTGAATATTAATTATTTTTTTAAAAAATAGAAACAATATTCCATTAAGATACAATAACATCTGAAAGGAAAATATCCTAGAATCAAATACCATCAATTGTTGTTGGCATCCATCTGTTTCAAAAGACAATGGAGTGTGCCTCTGGGGTGAAGTCAAACCACTGGAGTATCACAGCACCCACTGTGGCTGCAGAGACCGATAACTTGTCATACTATCTTATCCTGACTTCAATATTCTCATTGGCATTTGTTTTGTTTTCAAGCTTTGCTTTTGAACTTTGGTCTTTTGAGGCTCATCCTAATATGCTCAGTAAATGATTACATGCTGGAAACTGTGTGGAATGCTTAATAAACAACAACCCAGCATCTGGTATCTTTTTTCCAGCCTTAATAACAAAAAATGCCTACTACCTTCTCTGTAGTTCATGTTTAAGGTTGAGAAATTACTTTCTAGGCCTACAGCTTTGAAAGAATGGGTTAGAAACTTAATTATATAAGGTTGATATGCAGTCATAGGCTAGGTGACCTTATTGTATATTGAATCTTTTCCTTGAGTCTGTGTGTGCGTTGAAGTTTCAGTCTTCTAATACTAGAAGACGGTTCATGGAAGAGGGGTGAGAGGGTGTTCACTTGTTGCTCACTAAATTTTTTGTTTGTATTATTATTTATTAAATTTATAGTCGTGACTATTGAGGGCATGTGTTTGTTAGTGGAGTAGATCCACATTAAGAAAATTCAGCAATCTTACAGTTTATTACTGCTGGTCTATGTTTTGTATTCCCTCGGGCTGTTGGGGAATATCTTTTCAGGAAATGTATAGGGGTGAGGGATTTTTTTTAAGCAGCTACTTTGTTAATTAACATAATTCTGAAATGCTGATTGAACAGAAATTGATATTTAGTCTTCAGTGTATTTGGCTATCTCTCAGAACTATATAAAGCTGCTGATTTTCTTAAAAAGGAGCTTCACACTTCAGACAGCCCATCTGTTTGGAAATGTGAGGCTGTAATATGTCTCTTGAGTATTTGTATACTTAAATAGATTTTCACATTTGCAAGTCATAAAAAGGATGTTGGGTATTTTTTCTTCTTCAAAAAAGCTGTCATCAAGCATCAGCACTTAACAGCATTATGAGAGATTTCAAATAAATGCTTTTTACATTGGCCAGTAACTTACAATTGGTTGTGTTATCTTTTGCTAGATGCTAGAATGGAAGAGTTTGTCTATGAAAAACTAGACCGCAAAGCTCCAAGTCGTATGAATAACCCAGAAATACTGGGCCAGCACATGATTGATGCTGGGAATGAGTTTGGTCCTGGAACAGCATATGGTAAGTAACAACTATTTCATATCACTTGAGCATCCTGGACTAAGAATTGTTGGTGTGGTAGCAACTTGTGCTGATTGCACTGAGGAGTCAGTGTATACAGGATTGCAGTGGCATTTAATTGGGAATATGTAGAAGATGGCAGTCTTGTATTAGAAACTAGGGGTGAGTGGTGCTTCTGTAAGGATGGTTTGTAAGCTTATTCTGAAGCTGTACGTGGACCAGGTTTGAGAACTTGAAACTGACTTGAAAAGCAAAATGCAATATCAAAAGTAAAACTTAGAGCATGCTATAAAACAATGCAAATATAAAACACCCTTAGTGACATCGTGAAAAGTCACTATGTCAACATTTCGTGCTTTACGTTTCTGTAATTGTAGGTGGGTGGCTATGTTAACTCATACTGGAACGACTTTTCTGTTGCAGGAAATGCTCTCATTAAATGTGGAGAAACACAAAGACGAATTGGAGCAGCAGACAGAGAACTAATTCAGACATCTGCAATAAACTTCCTCACACCTCTGCGAAATTTTATAGAAGGCGATTATAAAACAATTACTGTAAGTTGTGAATACGGTTCCTTAACTTTAAAGAAGTAGTTCCAAATACATAAAGAAGTATCAATTTGATTTTGTGTCATTAAGCATTATTCTTGAGGGATTCCTACTACAAAAAAGTGACCTAGAGGACTTTAACCATTATATAACAGAGAGAGATCAGGAAGGGCCAAGTGGCTTATGTTCTCTATTTTCTCTAAAGTGAATGTTTTGCATGTACTCACATGCAATTTTCTTCAACTTTTGCAGAGGGAACGCAAATTATTACAAAATAAAAGACTAGACTTGGATGCTGCCAAAACAAGACTGAAAAAGGCTAAATTAGCAGAAGCTCGAGCTGCAGTAAGTAAAATTTATCTCCAAAAAGGTTTAGAATATTGTTGACTTGTTACGTGGTGTTCATGGTTCAACATGTGTCCCTTAAATCTTGTATTAACCAAGTGTCAATAAATATAGATATATAAACAGGGTTAACCAGAAGTTCTTTCTGTCTCTCTTTCTCTGGCTGTGAACAGACTAGGAGCAGATCTCTGTTTGGTCTGCAGTGAGATTTTGTAAAGGGAAGCCTTGCCACTCTGTGTCCCCTATCTTTCCCACTCCATACACCATTCAACATTGGGTTGAAATCGAAATGGTTTCACAAAGGGTATTTCGATACCTAGGAACTTGGATTGCTTTAGGAAAGATCTCATAAATTACAGTTCCCCGGCACATCTTCAAGTAAGATTAGGGAAGGATACTAACTCTCTATTGACTGCAACTCCAAGGTGCTTATCAGTGGGGAAGACACCTGACTACAACAATGGTATACCAAACTTACATTTCAACTGATCACGGATACTACAGCTATGCTACATATAATATACTTAAATAGATATGTATACATTAGCTTTGGAAAGGAAGTCTCAAAGTTGTGTGCCTGTGTTCATAATTTGTAGCTCATTGGCCACCTGAATGAAGAAAAATCCTGAGTTTGTAAAAGTATCTACCTGGTCACCTTGAAGCTCATTTTATTGACATAGGAAGCCAGATAAGGGACAACAGGAAAGCTGTGATAGGTATTGAACCCAGAAAGTAGGACTAGTATTCTACAAGTTTCCATTGACTACTTTAGAAGGCTATTCTCCAGGTATTTAATATAGTATGTTAGGTTAGACCTTGTGTTTTCAATTTTTTTCAGACATTAATGTGATTAGTAATATAATGGAGGCCACATCTTCTATTCTTGTTCTCTGGCCTAATTGATTTGGTGAGCAATAGTGAGTATATGAAGCATCTTAAGGCTTTTAAACCTATTTCAAATAGTACTTGCTTCCACATATGGAAATGATACTGGAAAAGAATACATGAAGCATAATGGTTTTGCTGTTTATTGTTTGCTTTTTTGTGTCTTACGTCTCTGACATTGCAGTAGCACTTAATGATCAACAATTTACCTTCTTTCATAAAATAACATAATTTTGTTTTTATGCACTTTAAGCAACTAAACCTGTCTCCACCTGAAGAAAATAACATTATGGTAAATGTTTCATACATGCTCAACTTGGTGCATGTAAAATGGCTACAGGTTTGTTGGCCTCTTGTCTTCATAACATTTCTTCAAGTGTTTTCTCTTGCTTTCTGTTGATATGTACTGCCCATCCAGATTCCTTGAATGAGAGATTACAGCAGATCAACATATTTACATCAAGTTAACAGGTTTATATAATACCTTATTGACTTCAACACTTCTTCTGTGTACAGTCTTTGGGAAATAAAATAATATGTCAAACTAAATGTTGACTAAAACAGCAGACTAAATTATTTTACTACTTGGGTATGCTGTTCTTTCAATGATATATGAGGCTTTAGCAAATTTTCCAGTTACGTGGTGCTTATTTCTAAACATAAGATCCAAAAGAGATCTTATTCCCATCTCCAGCTTAGCTTGTTATGTGGGTTATCTAGTACATTTCTTTCTGCAGAGTATGCTTTTTGTCTTAATATGTCTGAAGCATGTCACTCTTAAAATCAGAGGGATATTTGCCTAGATATATATATTTCTAAGCCTAATGAAAACGCTAAGTAAAATACTTTTGTATGGACTCAAGTTGTACTTGACTCTATTATTGCCTTAAATGATTCACAAGGAAATATGTTCATTGTTTACTATTTGAATGCCAACTTCCTTCCTCAGAATCCCCCTCTTCATTAACTGCAACTTTTCCTGTAATGTCTGAAAAAAGAGAAGTTGCTCATTGTACTGAAATTTCATCAACAAACAGATAATCCAGCGTAAATGAAATATGGAGTAAGAACTTCTGAGTTGTATTTGGAACTTTCCTCCAATTCAGCTTCAAGAAACACTGGGAACTGTAATTTAAGGATGTTGGAAATTGCAGCTCTGTGAGCGGTAAGCTACAGTTCCCAGGATTCTTTGGGGTTAGCAGTGTTTTAAATGTATCATGAGTGCTCAGCCAAAGGCTGTCTACAGTGAAGACTATATTAGTGGAAAAATGGGATAGAAGTGTTCTATAACCATTCAAATGACCTAAAGGTCTAAATTATTGATTTGATCTGATAAAGACAGGCTTGGATGGCAAGAGAAATCACTGGTGTTTCCTCTATCATTGTATTAGCTTGTTGTTGTGATAGACTTTGCTTGTGTAGGGCACCTTTTCATAAAGATCATCCATGCATTCGTTCATAATTCAGGCAAATTGTACCTTAGACTGTGGTCTTCGTTTGCTTTGGAAGTAATATGTTTTAGCTGGTTTCTTTTAAAACTATTCTACTTATTTCACACAATGGGTTGGATCTTGAGATCTTGTGGGCAGAGTTCTGCTCACAGAATGAGGTGGGGAGAGGTAGTGTTCTTAGCCTAGATCTACCCTACCCATGTGCTCTAGAGGAACAATAGGAGGAGGAGCTGCAGGGAAAAGGGAGAATCAGGGTTGGGTGAGTTCCTTTCCATGAACAGGAACCTCCTTTCTGCGGACAGAATTGCCCATTCCATCCATAGAAGGGGTACTCTGCATCTTAGTACTTAAGGGTACTGTAGTAAGAAACTTTGTATCTAGCAGGCAGCTGCTTTCAGCTGAAGACTATGTGGAGGGTAGAATATGCTTCATCCCCCATTCTGGTTATAGCTAGCTTCTTCTGAGAATAGCTAGGAATAAAGATGTTACAAAAAGTCTTCAGCTCACCAGCCAGTTTCCTCTGCTGCTAAAGTCTTCTCTAATGCACTGTTCTTGTCGTTAAATATAATGGAATTAGATAATAAATTTGGAAAATAGGTATGCACACCTAAAATACAGTATTACATTGGTAATACCTGTGTGAGCCATAATAAAATTCACTAGTTAGAACCTTAACTAGTATACAAGCAAAGATGCAGCTCTGTTTGTTATCAAGCACATTACAAACACTGTAGGTAAAGTGAATAAGGAAATCAATACAGGAAAGATGTGAAAGAACACTGAGTGCAAGTTCACCAGACAAATTCTTCATACTGTTGTTTCTCCACTTCTTTATGCATACAAGGTTTGGGCAGAGGAAGTAACAAAAGTAAGTAATCTAACTGAAGCTGTTGGTTATGAAATACCATAATGTTGAGATCTGATTCAGCATGGATCTTGTCCCTGATATCAAAGGGTTAGTATTGATTATATGCAATTTGAAGTGGCAATGGCAAAATGATCCACATAACATGTGGGAAATAAATCTACCAGAAAAGAGGGGTGAGTGTTTATGATGATGTTAAAACATGTTTTTCCCCCCTTCTGAATATGACAAGAACTTTAATAACACATGTTAATTCTCTGATCCTCAGTCCAGGCTACTACCCATCTGACATGCCTGAAACTAGTAGCTCAACACAGTTTCTCATTAGAGCAATCAATGTTCCCATTCTGTTTATAGAAACATATGAAACTGTAAAATATTAAACATCCCACCATGTTTGCAACCAAATCCTATGAATCTTCTTCATAACTTGTTTTCTTACTTAACTTGCATTGCCCTATTTTTTGTTGTTGTTTAGAAAGGTGCATTTTAGGGCCAAGTCTCAAATGTCGCTGCTTAAGACTACTTAATGTTCACATGAATACTTATTATTTAACTCAATAGCTGCATTACTACTCAGTATTTACTATTTACCTTATGTTTTCCCATTCTCTAAAGAGCTTTGAAACTATAATTACTCAGAATATTGCCTGGTTTTTTATTCTGCAGTCAGAATAAACAACATACATGGAAGAAACAAGTAGCATTCATTTCAGCTATTAACACACAATTAAAATTATGTACGGGCCTTTTCTTATCATGCATTGCTGTATTTCCCTGTATAATGAAATGAAAATGCAACTATTACAGTCAAGTTAAAAGTAGGCTTAGTAAAAAGTACTCTGTAACCAACACAGATAATGCAAGGAAATCTAGACGTCTGGCAGAATATGCCATAGGATCATGAACAATGGATGTTAGATGTTGTGGGTTTATTCCATACAAATACAGTGGTACCTCAGGTTAAGTACTTAATTCGTTCCGCAGGTCCGTACTTAACCTGAAACTGTTCTTAACCTGAAGCACCACTTTAGCTAATGGGGCCGTGCCACCGGAGCACAATTTCTGTTCTCATCCTGAAGCAAAGTTCTTAACCTAAAGCACTATTTCTGGGTTAGCGGAGTCTGTAACCTGAAGCATATGTAACCTGAAGCGTATGTAACCCGAGGTACCACTGTACTGCAGGACAAGACTGATTGAACAATATTTCTCCTGCTTAAAGGAGGCTCTCCAGGATAATCTTTGAAGCTGGAACAGTTGGCTAGCCCTTCATGTTAGTAAGCTGTGTTTTGCCTTGAGCAGAGATGGCGAGCTCTGGCAGATGCATTGTGCTAATTCTTTTCAGCATAATAAGTGGCTTGCTTGAGGGTTTTTAAAACCACTTTCTCAGTGTCAATTTACAAGCTTCCTAACAGGTTTTGACATCAAGTGAGAAATGCAATGCTGTAGGTGTTTTGGAACGGCTGTTCAATACCATGAAATAGTAGAATATACTGACTATCCCCTACCACTTACTGAAATATAAATTGAATGATGGGACTAGGTGTGACAATGGATTACTTGTAGGCAAAGCACTGTGGTGCAATCCACATTAATTTCAAGCAAATCTAAGTGCACAGTTAAAGCTCTTACATTGATTTTTAGTGGCATTTGCTCTTATTTTCTCCACCCTAGCAGCATAATTAATTTTATGTATCAAATTCTAAGTGAAATATATCTTACAGTCTGAACAGGAAGTCAGAATAGCCCAGAGTGAGTTTGACCGTCAAGCAGAAATTACTAGACTTCTGTTGGAAGGCATCAGCAGTACACATGTAAGTACTAAGTAGAAGAAAATACGCATCTCATAATAGTTTGTAGAAGACTACGTAATCTTATACAACTAGAAATAATTTCTAAAAGTTGGTGTGATACATGTATAAGAACTATTGAGGATGAGAAAATCAAGTGATTGTACAAGCACTATGACAATATTTCAATTACCTCTATCCAAAGAGCACTGGAGACTCATAGAGTTATTTTAGTTATGGAGGTTGAGGTAAAAGCTTCTCTCTCCTGACTAAAGGCATCTGGCAAAATAAACAATAACCAATGAAAAATCATGCCCTGAAGTTAGAATCATAGGGTTGGAACTCCCCATGTCCAATCTCAGTGCAGGGTCTGCTATGCAGGTTGCATCTATGACAAACGCCTATCTAAGTTCTGTCTAAATATCACTGACAAAGGAGACACCACCATTTTTTGTTCTATCATTGAACACTACTACTAATGTGCAGCCAAAACCTGCTTCCCTGCTATTTTCACCATTGCTAATAGTTCTGCTGTCTAGAGTAGCAGACAATAAGTTTGCAGGATGTCCCATCAGATATTTTGAAGAACACTATCCTATCAGTTTTTAAGGTCAGTCTCTCCCGTTTTTATATTTAAAAAGGTTCACGGATAGGATAGTTCAAGTCCAGTATGTCAGTCTTTGGCTATCTTCCTAAGCACTTTATTTGAGATAGTTACTGAAGTTAGACACTTTTGTTGGGGCATATTGAAAGCAACCTTTAATATAAACACAATTATCTGGAATCACCATGAATTCATGTCAAACTTGCAATCTGACTAGAACTCTCTAATTGTTGCAAGCTAGTTAATGCAACACAGTATACACAGTTCTGTACTGATATTTGAACTCCGCTGCATTCCAGGCACATCACCTTCGCTGTTTGAATGATTTTGTAGAAGCTCAGATGACGTATTATGCACAGTGTTACCAGTATATGTTGGACCTTCAGAAACAGCTTGGAAGGTAAGGAAATTATAGTCTTCATAGCTACTTTCCTAAATTGCATGTGCAGCGTTGCTAGAAGTACCTCTAATTGAAGGGTAGCTTGGAGGACAGCTAAGTTGATGCTGCTTCACTTCATTGTTCTGACAGGCCAATTTAACTCCAGAAGTTGCTACAGTGATCAGATAAGGAAGAGAAATCAGTGGAAGTAATAGTCTCTTTAATAACCCTCCTTTGGTGACTTTTTAGACATCTGAGGAAATAGTCTGACATATCACAGTAACAGGTCAGCAGGTATAACATATGGATGGCAGAAGAGAGAGCTATGAATAAGTGCTGTGGGCTTGAATTGCTCACAGGCTTGCACTGAAGTACAGCTAGGCTTGTCCTGGTGTTTTTGGATGTACGTCAAGGTATCTGCAGCAAGCCCAGCAAAAGAGGTAAAATGCTTTACAGCAAATAAAAAATGCTGCCTACTTTCTAGGCAGAGGGAGTTCAGAACATTTCTTGCAATTCACAACAACTGTCCTGCTGGATAATTGCTTCCATGTTAGCAAACAGTTGTCACATTCACTAAAAGCCAGTCGCTAATGGGCAGCTGCATCTTGGCCTACTAAAAGAAGGCCTTGACCTGGTTCGAAAATATTTCTGGGAGCTTGCCAGAGAAAACAGCAGCTTACAAAGTGCACAAAGCTACTATATAGATAGAGAGGGGTGTGTGTAAAAAAATAGAGAGAAAATCTTACTGCAGAAAGTCATAGGTTTAAAGCAGCAGCTGAATATGTAAACTGTAAACTTGTAGTCACTTTCATTTTCAGAATAACTGCATGAAGTCATTCAGTGTTTAGATATATCAGTTTGCCTGATCAAAGTATCTTAATCCTCTTTTCCCTTAGTAGCCTAAAGCTTGGTCTTCTTTTGGAATGTGTTTCTCTGTAGCTAATGATTTCTTTGCCAGAAAAGCCTTTTAGAATTAACTGTAGTTATTCCAGCAACAATTTCCTGTTCTTGAAAGTGGACAGTCTTCTGCAGTTTGAATGTGTTGTCTTAAGGAATATGGTAATTAAGAAAAGATTTTTAGTGCTTAGCAGTGTTGGATGTTCATGTGCTTGTGTATCGTGATAAGCCTTTATGGCTTATATGAGCCCTCTTTTGTTAAGACATAAACAGTTCCAATTTTTCAAAGCTAACTTTGTAGACTTTTTATAATTCAAAAGAATCAGTTGTGGGCATGTTGCATGTGTGCCTTCAAATCCTTACTGCCATTTAGAAAAATTGAGTTGAAGAAGGTTGGTGACAAGGCAAGATTCAGAGGGACTTCACTTTGTATCCAGTCATATCATTGTAAATAGAAAAGCTGTTCATTATTGATTCCTCTGGTTTGGTATAATTTCACATCATGGCTAGCCTGCTGAGGTACTTGATCTAACTGCTTGTGGTCCTGGGACTGTGAAAGCATTTCTGCATAGAAATTCCCTCCCTTGCACATGCCAATACTCTATAATCTCCCAGCTCCCTGTTGTCTGTTCCACTAGTGTGGAATATTTCTCTTCCACAACATGTAAAAATTATTGTTTCAATACAATTTGTTTTACAGCTGGAATAAAATGGGTTCTTGTTGGTTTTTCCCTCTCTTGTTGGACATTACCTTTGCCCAACTTCTTGCTCTGCTGAGCTCTACAAAGCCCCTGTTGGTTTTGTGCCCCAGGACTTCTTAAAAGAACCTACACAGTATCTGTTTCTCTAAAGTGCAAATAGATCCAGGAATGCCCTTTGAATGCTGTTTCTTGTAACACAGTGGAGCCATATTAGGATTTTCCACCATGTATTCTTCATTGTTAAAGTTGATAGGGCAGGTTCTTGAGAATAGATTTCTGGAAAGATTCTGATCAGGTCCAGTAACTTGTAATAAAGGTAGGATACAGGGGCACCCTTTCTTTCTGAATCGAGAAACAAATTAGGGATGATTACGTCTAAAGACCTATCCATTCTTAAAGAAATCAGCCCTGAGGGCTCACTGGAAGGACAGATCGTGAAGCTGAGGCTCCAGTACTTTGGCCACCTCATGAGAAGAGAAGACTCCCTGGAAAAGACCCTGATGTTGGGAAAGATTGAGGGCACAAGGAGAAGGGGGCGACAAAGGACGAGATGGTTGGACAGTGTTCTCAAAGCTACCAGCATGAGTCTGACCAAACTGCGGCAGGCAGTGGAAGACAGGAGTGCCTGGCGTGCTCTGGTCCATGGGGTCACGAAGAGTCGGACACAACTAAACGACTAAACAACAACGTCTAAAGAAGCATATAAGTGTACATCTCTCTTGCAATGTCCTTCCCACCCCCACCCCCGCCTCCAGGCATTATTTATAGGCTTCCTTTGTGAGTTGTGGATTATGTTTGCAACTGTGCTTTGCTCACCTTGTCATAAGAGGTTTCTGTTGGAAGATAAGGAGAAGCCAGAGGTGGCATTTAACTAAAAGGAAAGTATATGAATTGCTAATAGTAAGTGATAGATCTGGGTCATGAAATGCTCATGGTAACATTAGTATGTACCTTTCAGTACTATATTAATTTTGTGTTTCACAGCTTTCCATCTACGTTCCTTGCCAACAATCACCAGTCTTCGTCAAGCTGTGCTCCAAGTAGTTCCGTTACTACTACAGCTGCCTCCTCTGCCTCTGTTACAGCCTCATTGTCCTCAATAAGCAATGCAGCAGCTACATCCAGCTTGGGTGACGTGAAGTCCGCAAGCGGCAACAGAAAAGCCAGAGTTCTTTATGATTATGATGCTGCGAATAGCAGTGAATTATCACTTCTTGCGGATGAGGTACACTTTTTCTATTGCTTATAAATAGAAGTAAACAAATTTAATGTTTTGCTAACAACATGCAAAAGCCAATTCTCTGGTGTTACATCATGCAAGGCAATAAACATACATAAGTATCCATTTGACCATTGCAACGTACCAGGAATTAGTAATGAGGAAAGAGTAGCTTCTTAGGGAAGGTTTCTGATGTTACCAAGCAATACACCAGGCATAGGCAAACTCGGCCCTCCAGCTGTTTTGGGACTACAACTCCCATCATCCCTAGCTAACAGGACCAGTGGCCAGGGATGATGGGAATTGTAGTCTCAAAACATTTGGAGGGCCAAGTTTGCCTATGCCTGCAGTAGTATATATCGTAGGACTATAGGATTACTTGGATGTTCCAGTCCCTGATTATCTTGCATGTAGCTATGCATCAGCAATAGATTAACACGTTAAATATTCATTTTTTGTGTAAAGCTATTTTATGTGCTCACCTCTTTTGGAGATATTGCTGGGATTGCAAAATCTTTCAGCCTCCTGACCTGCCTATATATTTTGGAAAGTTGTTTCACTATGCATTTGGACCCCTCTTAGGATATCATAACTAAGTTTTGCATGATGGTTCCTGAGATCAAGGAGCAGGTTTTCATCTATGTTTGGATACAGATGGCAGACTGAAACTTCCAAAACTACACTGATTTTTTTTTGGGGGGGGGTGCCTCTTAGCGTACTTGAATATATTTTTGACATAAAGTGTTCTTTCTACTTGTCACTATACAATGCTCCAGGACACTAAGTACACACTGCTTCACCCATTATTTTATTTTACTTCTTAATATTTATATACAACCCAATAACAAAAGTTCTCCGGGAATTTATCAGTAAATAAATAAAACCATGACATGCAAAAATGCAACCTAAAACTAGCAGCAGCAGGAATAACATTAGTACAATGGATCCATCCCATAATACTTGTGTTCCGCATTTGTAAGAAACAGTGTGGCAGCATCTAAAATTTGGAACTCCCTGCCTATTGACAGCAGGCAGGTGCCTTCACTGCATTCTTTTCAGTGCGTGGGTATGTCATTCATATACCCAGATATGTGAATCTTGATGTGTGTTTTAATTTGTTTCAATTTATTGCTGTTTTCTTCATGTTTAGATAATAGTTTTTAACCGTTTTTTACTGTTTTTTTGTTTTATTCCCTTTGTAAACCTCTTGGAGGTTTTTAACAATCAAGCAGTGTATCAATGTTATAAAATAAATAAAGGTAAGGTAAAGGGATCCCTGACCATTAGGTCCAGTCGTGACCGAGTCTGGGTTTGCAGCACTCATCTTGCTTTATTAGCCGAGGGAGCCGGCGTACAGCTTCCGGGTCATGTGGCCAGCATGACTAAGCTGCTTCTGGCGAACCAGAGCAGCGCACGGAAACACCATTTACTTTCCCGCCAGAGTGGTGCCTATTTATCTACTTGCACTTTGACGTGCTTTCGAACTGCTAGGTTGGCAGGAGCAGGGACCGAGCAACGGGAGCTCACCCCGTCGTGGGGATTCGAACCGCCGACCTTCTGATTGGCAAGTCCTAGGCTCTGTGGTTTAACCCACAGCGCCACCCGCGTCCCTAAATAAATAAAAGTACTAACGCATATTTAGAGTGAACACTAGGCAGCAGCCCAGGTTTCTAGGCTAGTGCCTACTTGCAAAGTAGGAGAATTCACAAAATTTTCAGAAACAGATTATCTAATTTCTTTATTCATCACACAGGCATAAGAAATAAACACTGCTTTTTGTTTTTGTTTTAGGTAATAACGGTGTACAGTATGCCTGGCATGGATTCAGACTGGTTGATGGGCGAACGAGGAAATCAGAAGGGCAAAGTGCCTATTACTTACTTAGAACTGTTAAACTGAATAACTGGCCTGTATAAAGACTGCCAGTTATGGTGAGACCATATTTATATGCAATTAACTTTATATAAAACAGGTTTAAGTGTCTTCCATGTTAACATCTTAAAGGATGTGAATACCAGCCATTAGAAATGGGCTTTTATGCCAATATTCTTGCATGGTAGATACTCTTTTCAGATCTAAGTTGTTTAAAAGCTTTTACTTTATGTGCCAAGACTGTTTCTACAGAATTTTGTTTCTACTGGAATTTTCACTAATAACAAACTTCTGCTTTTGAGTAATCTAAACTGAAAATGGGAGGTATTGTTTTCTACAGAACTTTTCATAATGGCAAGCTTCTTCACCAACAATAAAATTGTTAAACAGTAATTTCTTTTGCTAAACAAATATTTGATGTTTAATGTCTTAAAGGGCTATGATTATAGTTATGCAGCTGAAGATTACACTTTTACTGAAAACATTAAATAGAATTCTGAAAGGAAATGCACAGCATAAAAAGAGCCCTACTAGAGGGATCAGATTAAGGTGTGTTAAATTGAGTTTTCTGTACTCACAGTAGCCAACCAGATGTCTATGGGCAGCACAAAAGCTGTTTGTGATTAACCAGCAACTGGAATTCAGAGACAATTTGCCTCCCAATTTTGGAGGTAGCACAAAACTTAGCTCCATTTTAAAATACACTTTAAAAATCGGTAACTCCAAATTTGTCCAGGTGTTATTATTCCAAATAATAGCTAATAGAACTATGCTGATCCCCATCAGAGCATAAATGGTGTAAATACCACAGCTCCTATACAGGTTTTGCTGTTGTTACCATCACAGATGAAAATATCTAGACCACAAATTGTGCATTCACCAACATAACCTTTCATTATTTATTTATTTTGAAAAACTTTGATTTAGAAATAGTTCTTGATTTTATTTATTTGCAAAATGTATTGTGTTCAGTCGTGTTAAAGCGCAACAGCATACAACTGTCATGAGTGGTTTGGAGAGGAACAGTGAAAATTAAGTTTTATTAAATACCATGATTTGGAAAAGAAGACTTCCAACATTTGAAGAACATCGGCTAATACAGTTGGTAATCAAAACATGTGATGTCATCAGCTGTATCCAGTGTTGGTCCTACTCAGAGTAGGCCCATCGAAATTGATGGACATAACTGACTTAGGTGCATTAATTTCAATGGGTCTACTTTGAGAAGAGTTGAATGGAAACCTCGTATGATTAGAGGTGAGAGTTCCGTGTTATTTGGGACTGCAAGATACATGCTTCTTAGCTAAGCCTTCTGAAAAGCAATCCTCTGACTGATGAGTGTGAGAGATAGTCTTGAGCTTAGTATATAGGGAGGGAAACTAATTGCTTGGCTTATTGACTGATGAATTACTTCCATGTATGAATTTGCCAGCGGTGATGGAAGGAACTAAATACTGATCCCAGAGTGGAGAGACCTGCCTGTATATTGCAGTAATTGGGGCAGATGGAGAGGAGTAGCTGTTGCACATTTCAGCTGTAGTTCAAAGCGTAAAAGACTTTTCCTCAAAAAAAGTAAGAACCTGAGAAAAGATTCTGAATATTCAAGTAAGTTCTGTACATTGAGGGAAATCAGAAATTGAATTTGCACATGCTACTGTACACTACTGGGCATTTTGACAGGAGGCATGCAGGAGTCAGAAAATGAAGAACAACAGAATCAGAAAGCTGGCTGAGTTATCCTTTCAGTAGTTCAAAGAAAGTATTCTGTAGTCTGCATTTCTCCATGACTAGCAGAAGCAGAATAAACTAAAACATGAAACTGTGCCTGACCTGCAACCTGTATAGATTATTCAGAATCCAGCTCTTCTTAATGCAGAATTTTGATAATATTTTTAATACCTAGTACAGCTCTGTACATAATCTGTCCTTAGAATACCATTTTTTTGTGCCATTTTGGTAAAAACACACAAACTTTCCTATGTGAGGTGAAAAAAACCAGCCTATGACTAGTGTGTTGGAAGAGAGTTTGGACAGCAAGAAGGGAATCCCAATTTGTAGCACCTGTACTGGGGCTGCACACACACTCCCTCACCCACTAGACGTGGAGCAGCTAAAAAGGTTTTGAGTATATGCAATTTTTGTGTGTACATGGAACCCTCAGAACCAAACCCCTATGTAAGGTGCAGGATTACTGTATACTGAAAGCTCAGCAGCTAATGACAGTGTTCCCAGCTGTTCTTTGTTTATATTTGCTTTTTGGAATAAATATGGCCAATTTATTATGGACAATATAGGGTACAATTGCAAGTGCAGCGAAATCTTTTTCCAGGGTCTATGACATGATTGCATTTGCGGCTTTTGCTGTCAGTGAGAGAACACTGTTTGGGGCTGCGATGCCCTTGCTTTCCTCTAGCTATTTGTCAGATTGTTTGGCAACCTTCACAGCACACTTCAAGGCAGCAGAAAACTTTTAATGAATTCTCACCTAACGCTTGTGGAAAAGTTAAAAATGCTTTTCTTGATTGTCTACTTGTGATCCAGGTGTGCTGTACAAGGACTGGGAAGGGCAAGCTGGTAAGCCCTGAATGATTACCTGCTTATATCAAACTGGATATTGGTGTTCTCCTTGGCTACTTAAAATAAATTGTCTGAATTGTGAACTCAGGCTCTCAATGACACATGTATCTTGAATATGTGGTATCACACCCAGCTGAGCTATTGAAGCTTGTGGAACAAGTATATAAAAGGAAGACTCCATGTATGCCTCATCTGCAGGGCATATTCTCCCTTGTATCTAACCAAGTGGCTGGACTACTGGGACCAAGATCACACACTTGTAGGCACTTAATATCTTTACACTTAATATGTTGAACAGATAGATGATTTTAGACATAATATATTAAGTCATGGAAAGAGGTAAATGTTCCTATTTTGAAAAGTTGAATGTACTCTTCTGCATTCAGGAAGAGCTACTAAAGCATCTTCATACATAATTTGCCATTCAGAAGAATTCAAAATGAAGAAAGACCTATACTTACAAGAAATTGAAAAAGAGGAAGAATGGGGAAGGGATGTACCTATAGAGGGGACCTCAAATATATTGTGTCACATATGAGGTCTTACCAAAAGAATTCTCGGACCTGCCACCAGTTCTACCTTTTCCAGGTCTGTTGCATGAGAAGGGAAAATTGAGTTGTATCCACACAGTACATCGCTGCGATCGAAAGCGTTCTCTTGGCATGCAGTGGCATGAACACCACACTCCCCATTTCCATTCATGGCAGTAGTTTTGCACTATATGGAATATTGGTTGAAAAGTTCCCCAATCTTTCAGTGGGGAGGCATGTTGTGGAATATTCTGTGCCCAAGTTTATATGGAAATGTCTCTGCAGTTCTTTGGTCCCATACCCATACCTGACCTTGAATAATTTAGCTTTCCTGTAGTTAATGAATCCAGAAGTATTTTTAGAAGGATTTAAAAAGGAACTTCTGAAATGACTGCTCATGGTCTGACTACTTTGCACGCCATAGGGTGCAATAAAAGTCTTGCCACTCTTGCTTAGCATCTTAGGCTGTGCTAATAGCTTCTGCTTTTGTTCAAACTTGATTGCGACTAAAGGAAACAATTATAGGCAGCCCATTGTTCCTAGAGAACTTTGTCAAGGCTGTGTCCTGCTTTCTGCATGGCATACCACACAAGAATGGGAGGGTGGCATGATTGCATATTGCCAAGAGAAGAGAGAGCGTCAGATTGCACCACTGCTAGCACATTTCAAGCAGTGAAGCCAAACTGTTAAGAGTGATGTCAACAGTTAACCTGTTATTTTGCTAGTCAGTACTACATTGAAGGTGTTTCTTTGACTTCAGTTGTAATCAGTAACTAAACCCAGCAAATGGCAGTATTGTGCACTATGCACAAGGTTTTATGTTCATAGAGAACTGGAAGCTTTACATGTACCTTCTTCCTCCACTGTTTTGCAGTCATTGCTATTTTGCAGCTGGGATATTTTGGGCCAAACCAAAAAACAATGTGTGGTGATCACATGCACAAGTTTCCCCCCATTTTCCCCATGGAATTCCTCCGCCCGCCCCCGCCCCCAAAACAAACATGTTTGGAAGAAATCACACTGCTGCCACATACACTGACTGCCTTTCATCTGGGCTCAGCAGATTCATGGTGCAGGTATGTCACAACCCTCACCCTCTCTGATCACCCATTTCTGATCATTGCCTCTTTCTGCTGTTTAATGATGTGGAGGTGATGGCAGCTGGTCGGAGGCGAAAAAAACCTGCCCTGAACAATGGAGCCAGTTGGATGGATGCTACCCTTGACTTTTCGGCATGGTGTGGTAGACATCCAGTAAACAGAATTGCAGAATTACTTTGTGAATATTAAATCTTTTATAAATAGTTTGCTGACAAGACTCACTGTCTGGAAACACATCGGTACCCAGATCATGCAGCCAGTTAATAAAGCAAATTCTAAGGAGCCCCTCCCCTACGGATCAGAATTGCCTTACATATTTTTTTCTTTTAGAAATGTGAAATGGGTGTCTGACATTAGCAATTAAGGGAATCTCGTTAGAATTGCAAAAATGGAATTAAAGCTTTCAAATGTCTTTACACAGTTGTGGGCAGAAGCGCAACAACCAGAATTGGAATAATTAGCTGGGAAATTGCTGCTACTAAAGGAGAATCTGCATGTAAACTATGTTTCTGGAAATAAGGGTGGTTTTTTCTCCCTTTTCAGTGCAGGTTCTCTGAATGCAACTATTCAAGGGACTAATTCAGAAATCAAGCTCTAGTCTGGCAAGCATGCAGGGTGGGGTAGATCCCTGGAGAGAGATTTTGGGCGTGGGAAAAGCAATACCTATAAGCTTATATAACTCGTAACTTTCTGTAGTTCAGGGTTGGGAAACCTGTGACCCTCCAGATGTTGCTAGACTAGAGCTCCCATCATCCTTGACCATTGGCCATGTTGGCTGGAGCTGATGAGAGTTGGAATCCAACATCTGGAAGGCCAAGGTTCCCCATCACTGTTCCTCTCCTTACTCAATTATTCTTCTGCTCTAAGCACTATTGGGGAAGCAACAAACCTGCCTCAGTTCCCATCTGCCAGATTATAGTACAATGCACTGGTGTGGGTAGAGATGCACCTCTATAATTTTAGATTCTTCACTCTTTCATTGCCCAACACACGCCACTCAAGTCCCCTGGTCACCATTGATTTATGAAGTCTGGTTCTTTCATATTTAAAGAAAAGCCACCTCCCATATGTATCTTCATTTCTTAGAGTTGCCAAAGGAGTTTTTATGTCCTAGGGCAGGCTTTCTCAACCTTGGATCCCTGGATGTTGTTGAACTACAACTCCCATCATTCCTAGCCAGCATGGCCAGTGGGGGATGCTGGGGACCCAAGGTTGAGAAAGGCTGTCCTAGGATTTACATCCTATCCTTCACTCAGATGCAGCTATTGAGCACCTGCTCTGTGTTATCGACATCACTTACATTATGTGGAAGGAGCCCAAAAAGAAAATTAATCTGAGAACACTCCACTGAAGAAGCTGACAAAAGCAGTGTATAGTCTGAGGAGAAGTTGGAACAGAGGGTTCCCCCCACCCCTTCAGGCCTTGTACATAGCAGGGAGACATTCAACCACACATACAGAAGAAAAAGTCCCTCCAAACTATACAGCCATCAGAGCATGTGCTACCTCAGCAAACATCATGCCACTCTACCTGGTTGCTAACCAACGCACCCACCCATCTCCTTGGCTGGTTGACTGACTGACTGATAATAGAATGAACCTTTATGTTGCAAACTGAACAATCTTTGCTGTTGCACTTCCAAAACGCAGTAGAATGCACCCCACAAAGAATGCACTCCTCATTCTTCTTGCCGGTGAAAATGTAGCTATGTTGAAAGCTACTGAACGGCCTGATTTAAACTTTTTCTCAGCCATTTAGTTAGCCTTGCTGTTCTCTAGCTATTGTAGGATTCACTGACGGCTTGGATCCTAAAATAAGTGAAGGAAGTTGACAGAAAGAGCATTTCATTTTACTTACATCCCCTGAACCCTCCTAAATAATGGGGAACCCTCTTAAACTAGGCAGGTTTAGGATGATTCCCTTCTCCCAGAGCAGCCCCACACACTCCATCCTATATTATTCAAGAGGCTCCCTTTATCCTCTGTACAGTTAGCATCTTGTCCTGGGTTTTAGGGTCTTCCTAAAAAAGGTCAACAACTTTCGGGGTGTCCTGGTTTTTTACTTTTTGAAATCTGGCTACATATTTCTTTCATCTATGCATGCTATTTAAGCTGCAAACACAGCCTGTGGTTCATCATACCACTTAGCTATTCAATGGGGACCCCAATATTACGTTCTTTGCTTTGTATTACACCGGATGACGGATGATGTTCAGCTGGTTAGAATCACTGGAGAGGCGGGTCTCAGAATTCCCGACCCCAAGCACATCTCTAATGATGGGCTGCCTTAGCAACCATGTTTGCTAGAAGTCCCGTAGAGAGCCTAATAATAATAATAATAATAATAATAATAATAATAATAATAATATATTATTAATATTAATATTAATACCCCGCCCATCTGGCTGAGTCTCCCCAGCCACTCTGGGTGGCTTCCAATCAAGTGTTAAAAACAATACAGCATCAAATATTAAAAACTTCCCTAAACAGGGCTGCTTTCAGACATCTTTTAAAGAGAAGATAGCTGCTTATTTCCTTCACATCTGAAGGGAGGGCATTCCACAGGGCAGGCGCCACTACCGAGAAGGCCCTCTGCCTGGTTCCTTGTAACAGCCCTGGCAGCCCTCTGCTGCCACTACATCAACCTCCCACAACCTCCTTCCTTTTGGGAAGGAACTATATTTCCATAATAGAGCACCAACTTTGCAACGGAGACAGTCCCAGATTTGATCCCTGCCACCTCCAGTTAGAAAGGATCACTAAGCAGATGAGACTCTGGAGGGACACTGCTCAGCTACATGGACAGATACTCTGACCCGGATTGGGGCAATTTTTTTTCTGTGTTCCCCTCCAGGGACCAGATCAACAACTGTCTTATCCTTGTGCAGTAGTAAGGAAAAAATCTCCAGTGTGTTTGTGGGCACATGCTTTCTGCACATTTATAGAGAAGGAGCATCTTTGGCAAATAACTACTATTTTAACTGATTAGTAATGTAGGGCACAATGCACATGCTTAGAACTGTCTGGGAATAAGATCACTTCCCACTCAGTGCTCTTGCTTCAAGAGTCTGTAAGTTGGTTTAGTCATCTTTCCTTCTTTCTCTCTGCAAAAAACAAAACAAAACAGAAAACAGCTTTCAAACTGGTGCCAGGCACTTGGCCTGCGCATGGCAAATGTTTTCCTAGACTACTTGCTCTTCGACAGATGTATCTTTCAGCCTTGCTTTTGTGTGCAGCCCTGAGGGTTGTGTGCAGCCCTGCTCAGGAGGTACAATGACACACTGAACTCCGCACTCCCATGAGAACCTTGCAGCATACAAATCTTCCTCTGCAAACATAACCCATCTGCCATAATTTTGCGGCTCTGATCATTGAGATAAGCGATGTCGGTATTCTCCTCCAAATGGCATCATTCGGCCAGCAGATGGCACTATTTATTCCCATAAGAAAACAGGAGTCGCTTGGGTGCATTGCATTCCTAAAGGTCACGAGCGAAGGAAAAAGGTCCAAATATGTTCTATGCATGAGGGATGTTC